ACGGGGTCTACAGTAACAATAGTCTCACACGGGGTCTACAGTAACAATAGTCTCACACGGGGTCTACAGTAACAATAGTCTCACACGGGGTCTACAGTAACAATAGTCTCACACGGGGTCTACAGTAACAATAGTCTCACACGGGGTCTACAGTAACAATAGTCTCACACGGGGTCTACAGTAACAATAGTCTCACACGGGGTCTACAGTAACAATAGTCTCACACGGGGTCTACAGTAACAATAGTCTCACACGGGGTCTACAGTAACAATTGTCTCACGTGTAAGTATGTTGCTATGTTTGTACTTGTATGTACATATTGTAAATAGTGACTGTCCCTATAACTATCCTATCATTTCAAACATATTTTCATTGAAGTATCACCTGCATACATTTCATATATTCACACTTGCTAATGTTTTGCTATTGATTTATTATCGAGAACCAATGTCACCAGATCTTGTGTATACTGTTGCTGTACGTCATGCCTACCACATACTGTTAGAAACCTCATATCATTCATCAATATTTGATAACGGGATAATGTGTGTGTTGGGGGTGACGTATAGCACAATATCACTTACCAAAATGAAATTGATTTTTTCATATCTACTCAGTTCACATGGAGAGAATATTTTTAATATAATATTTATGCTTATCATCAAAATTAAACTTATTTTACTGTGTATGGATATCCATACCAATCCCGGTCCTCCAGGTAATATGGGAAATTACTCACTCCTTGATGACATATCAATTGCACATTTGAATATATGCTCACTTAGAAATGAAACCGATATCCTTGAGACTGAACTTGCTGATCATGACATCATCTGCCTTACGGAAACTCATCTCAATGACTCTATCCCTGACGATGCTATTTCTTTATCTGATCACTCTCATATTTTCCGTAAAGACAGACTTGATAGAAGAGGTGGAGGAGTTCTTATTTATACCAATGACAAAATTATATCTAAAAGGAGACTAGACTTAGAGAAAGCAGATTTAGAAATCATATGGATTGAAATTACCCTTAGTCATAAAAAAATACTCTTAGGTTGCATCTATAGACCCCATAACTCTGTTGTTGATTATTGGAGTAAACTTGATGATGTCTTGGACAATATCACTGAACTTGGCAAAGATTATATACTTATTGGAGACATCAATCAGAATATGCTTAACGTACAACCACATTCTCACATCATGCGGATTATGACTAAGTTTGGCATTACTAATATTATTCACGAACCTACAAGAACTACTCCTACCTCTTCTACATCTCTCAATATTATTATGACTAACAATAATGATATAGTAAAAAAATCCCTCTGTCCAAACTCCAATTTGTAGTGACCACAGTCCAATTAATTGCAATATATCTTTCAAAACTCATAAGAAATCTGCATATAAAAAGACTATTGTGTACTTTAATGATACTGACTTTGCTAATGCTAACATCTGTTTATCTAATATTGATTGGAATACATGTTTGAATGAAAATGTTGATATAGAGACTTTGGAATTCATAATTGTATTGAAAAATATGTACTACATAAAGTTGTCACTATTCGTCCAAATGATAAAGTACAGTTATTGATCTTGTAAGAGAAGCTAAGCAAAAATATCTACTCAAACTCCAAAATTCCCCTATTGACAAATCTATTCCTCCAATTACAATGTCTAAGAATTATATCAGGTTTGAGAAGAGGTATATGTCATAACTTAATATATAAGGAAGTTGGTGTAGATAACTAAAAATAAGACGTGATAATTACCAATGTATATTATTTTTCAAGATACTGCAACAGGACTGTCCTGACCATCTTTATGATTGTATCTTACCATATATTAATAATGATATTAATCCTCGCCTTCGACATCATAGAAACTTTATTGTTCTCTTGTGCAAAACCAGCTTGTATAAAAATAGCTTTTTTCCTAGAATGATGTCTCTATAGAATAGGTCAGACTGTATTTTTCCAAAACTCACTTCATTGAGCTAGTTAAAACTGGAATTACTTAAAGAAAGCACACACGTTTTGCAACCATCTAACTGTACGAATATTTTTAAATACGGTGGCTCCAGGAAGTTGAATATAACATTATGTCAACTACGGAATAAAGTCAGCCAATTAAAATCAGATTTATGTAATGATCATCTTACAGATAACCCTAAGTGTGACTGTGGTTATATTATTGAAGATGCAAATCACTTCTTCCTCAATTGCCCCAAATATATAGATGAAAGACAGGTTTTATTCAATGCGTTATCTAATTATAACGAAATTGACAACATCATCTTAAATACTGTTACTTTCACTAAGGGTGATATGAACCTTAGCAGTGAATCAAATAAGTTTATTCTCTCATGTGTTCTTGAGTTTATTGACAAATCTGGAAGATTTTAACTTAAACTATACTAAAAATTATGTTACAATGTGTTTGTATTTGCTATTTTATAACAATAACTCTGGTGTAATTGGGAAGGATGGCACTGTGTATAGTGACAGTGTCTTTGAAGTGCCTCCAACCAAACTCTAGGCTATCAATAATTGAAGTAAATAGACTATATTAGTTGAAATGTTAAAATCTATGATATTCTAATTATTATTTTCTGTGAACATGTATTAAAAGGTTCTAGTATTCTCCTATTAATTCGAACATATACTACATCTTCTCTATAATATTATGAAATGTGTGTATTTTCTCTGGAAAGGTCTTTTATAGGCAATGCCTGTGCCTAATCCAATTGTGTTTTTTTAATACAATAAAATTGATTTGAAATAGTCTCACACGGGGTCTACAGTAACAATAGTCTCACTCGGGGTCTACAGTAACAATATCTCAAACGTTGTTTTTGACGTGATTGAGAAAGTTAATAGACCGAAACTGGGTGTTATGGGCAGGTCAATCTATAGAGCAAACTGCAGCAGGTTAGAAGTTATGGGTATACGATCCACTACTGTAGAAATGGTTTAGTTGTGTTTTACGTCCCATTAGCAGCTATGGCCATTTAAGGACGTGCCATGTTTTGGTGGTGGAGGAAAGCCGGAGTTCCCGGAGAATCATCACCAACCCACGGCCAGTACCTGGCGACTGTCCCACTTATGCCTCGAACCCGCGACCCAATGGTGAAGGGCTAGTGGTAACAGAATGGCAAACGCCTTAATCACTTGGCCATCGCGGCCCCTTACTGTAGAAATGACAACTGTGATTGCTGATCTGGATATTGACGGCTTGCTAGGGATATATTTCATGTTTGAACAATGCTGCATGCCACGAGGATGTTGCTTAGGGACTACTGCGGATTGGTGACATTAACGTCCCTAAGGTCGCCATTGTTGAAATGATTTGTTTGAGAAATGTAACAGCTACAGTACCTGTGTACTAGAGCCGACGTAGAGATTCGTTGGTTCTGGCAGAGCAGTATTGGCTCGTACTGCAGTATCTCCTCCTTTGAAGTGTGTTCCAGTTAGGCTTATGAATATCACAGAGGAACAGAGGAAAGATACATGAGGCACGATTAAAGGACAAATCTCACCTGTTGAACATGTTGCAGGACCGAGGTAATGGGTGCGGCGGCTGACACAACGTACCTTGAAGAACACTTTGACGACCTTCCAGCCAAAAACACACTAACATTTGACCAAAGAGCAGATTAAGCTGGTCAAGTCATTCTCAGATAAAAAAAACCAAAAAAACCAACAACAACAAACAAACAAACAAACTAGTCGCTTCATCTGTCTTGGGACTAGGAGAACGTTACTGGGTTAGAGAATCACCAAATAAAAACGGCCGACGACGAACCAATAAAACAGCAAAGGGTTCCATTTTGCAGATGAAGTCGACAACGGTTAGACAACGGAATGTGATGATGCTTCCATCAAGCTGAAGAACATGCTTATCACGTCACCCATTATCACATTACCAGATTTTGAGAGAACGTTCTTTCTGGACACAGATACCAGCGGGGTTGCTTAAAGATAAGTGCTTTCCCAGGTCCAGAATGGAGAGGATAGGAACTTTATGATGACCAATTCATAGCGGGCATAGATGACTATGAAATGAGAAAACGTGTATGTTTGCACCACGTCTGGGCAACCAGTAGTGAGGGTTTTGTGAAACGGTCAAGAGAAATGTTCTAGTCTGAAAGGTGTTGTCAATCAGCTGATTCCCAAGGTAAAGGTATTGGCTAAGAACATATTGCGTCCCGGAAATAGGAAAGACTCACAGAAAACGGCTGTGCTACAGTTGTAGAATTGTAGTCACATGGCTGGTCAGTGTCCTAACTGTTACTGGTTGAGTTTTATTGCCTTTGTGATCTTGTATTGGTGTTCGGACGGAAGATGTACTTATACAAATATATGTGTCCAAGACTGATTATGTGTTTAGTATTTTACTGTTTATTTTGTATGGGCCTGTATAGTAATTATGTTCTATGTGGGATTTCATATGTTGGGTTCTTTGTGATCTTTGCTCTGTGGTCAAGATGATCTGGGCACACATAATTTAGTTTGTTTGTGAACTTTGTATTGATATATGTGGTCATGACGTTCTGTTTGAGCAGCATCAGTTTGATGGTATGCACATATCAGCCCTGACTGACCCCCAGGGGCTGATGGGTGGGGGCCAAGCATTTTGTAGGCCAGTGTTGTTTTCAGTTGTATAAGATTGAGGGTACTTCCAGTATTGTCTGGATTGTTGATTATGTGGCAAGTTTTTATTTGTATGCCTGATGAACCGTGTAGTCGTCAAACAGTCTTTGGCTGAACTAACTTCTGTGTGAACTGTATGGTGGACCATATGCTGTTTTATGGACTGTTGTGCATGGTGGAGATACGACTGATATGCTATACTTGATGTCACACTGGAAAAAAACTGGGTTGCAACAAAAGGAGTGTTTAATAACCGAAGACTTTAAAGCTGCGATAAATTAACACAATAGATTTACACTTTTGACGCTTTGGTACAATAAACTTAAGACTTTAAAACTGTGGTAAATTAAAATTTGTATTTTGAGGCAGAGCTACATTCAAGGTATTAAAATTTCATATAACAGGTAGTTAAGAAGTTAGTGTTTAGAAAATCTTTGGTAAGACTGGAAGAAGTACTTGACACATAATCTAGTCATGATTCAAAATAAACCTCTCAGAAGGTAACGTTTTCAGTACAGAATTTGCTTTAAATGCTTGCTCCAAGTTTAAAGCTATTTTCTTCTCGTTGTATTATTACATTTTTTGTTGGGAGAAAAGATGCGGACAAGTTAAAGACAGTTTTTTTGTTTATTGCAAATTCAACAGTAGTAAACGATGATGCACACTGCACCTGTTATAACAAGGACAATGTAAGATAGGCAGTGAGTCATATCAATAACTGTATCAACATTACATAGACTTGTGTATAATTAACAAAATAAATGTATACACAAGATTTTTAGCAGCAAATATAACAGGAAGGTGCTGCCATCAAACTCTATAGACTAGTCTGGATAAGATGGCGGGGTAATGATGTAGCACACTATACAAGTGTGCCTGTATGTAGTGCTACAATTAATATTGCTGTATTACTTCAGGAATCATTCAAAGTAAATGTAAATATTAATTTTACAAACATGAATAGTATTATAATGCCACTAAAGGATTACGCACATATTTAGTTCACTACATTAATTTAAAACAAGAGTAACAAACGGCAGCAAATCATGCTTAAAATCCTTCAGATGCATTTTTTTAAGGGCCATAACTCCATCAGTTACAGTTGAATAATGGTGGATTTCTAACTTCAAGTGCTATCCATGCAGCATTTATATAGCTACCAAGATATGATAAATATTTTGTTTCTTCCTGATGTAAATTCAGCATCTGCAGCATGCCTTAAGTAGAACGAACATAGCTGCATCGTTGATGCAATTATTATACGTGTAGCACTTTTAGTTACATAGATATGGACATGGCAATTCTTCACAATATCGTACTGTAGAACAGGTTATTTATGCTGGCTTAAATTTAACTAGAATTTGAAAATTCAATTTACAGATTAAAGTTTGCGATAGAGATGGGACACTCGGCATATAAAGTGTCTGCGGATCATATTTTTGCAATCACGTAATTGACCCGTGAAACTGCGAAAATATCATCCCCTAAGAAATATCGTGCTATACAACATATGAGAGTATATTAGGAAAGTTAGAAAGTACTTATATGTGTAATTATTATCAATTATACATATCTTGTATGAGAAAGCCACTGGAAAATAAACAAAATGTCAATGTCAATATTTAACTATAAAACCCAAAACTGATCCTGTTTTGTTGCTAACTGACGTTCTTGGTCAAAGTGAACAAGTGCAGACATACTACAAGAGTAGAATTGGGTGGGACAAACTCATATATGGGTAAATATGTATCTGATCTGTAACAGAAAGCAAGGAAACCACTTCGGAATAAGAAAATGTGAAATATTGACCTGCAAACCTTACATCATAATTTCAGGCAACAGGTCTACTATTGTGTGTAACAATGCTGTCTACAGCTTGTAAACTTTGGTTATGAAGTTGGTCCTCCTTCAACAGTCAGCATGTGGTTAACTTTAAACTGATGAAATTGATTGGAGCTACCATCAATAGTCAGTAGCTGCTGAACATTGGGCAAGGTTTGTCACTGATGATGTGACATTGAAGCATCCATCAAAAGTAAACAGCTTGTAAACAATGGTTTGTCACTGATGATGTGACGTTGAAGCGTCCATCAAAAGTAAACAGCTGGTAAACAATGGTTTGTCACTGATGATGTGACGTTGAAGCATCCATCAAAAGTGAACAGCTTGTAAACAATGGTTTGTCACTGATGATGTGACGTTGAAGCGTCCATCAAAAGTAAACAGCTGGTAAACAATGGTTTGTCACTGATGATGTGACTTTGAAGCATTCATCAAAAATCAACAGCTGGTAAAGTTTGGTCAATCACTCATGAAATTAAGTTGGCAACTCCTTACACAGTCAACATGTAATTCATCAGTCAAAACAACCTTCAAAAGTCACACTATTAACTTTAGCTAGTCAGCGAGGAAGTTCTGTTGTAGCCTCTATCAATAGTCAACACACTATAAACTTTAGCTAGTCAGTGAGGAAGTCCTGTTGTAGCCTCTATCACTAGTCAGCACACTATAAACTTTAGCTAGTCAGTGATGAAGTTCTGTTGTAGCCTCTATCACTAGTCAGCACACTATAAACTATTAATAGTCAGCACACGATGAACTTTAGCTAGTCAGTGAGGAAGTTCTGTTGTAGCCTCTATCAAAAGTTAACACGTGATTAACTTTAGCTAGTCAGTGATGAAGTTTTGTTGTAGCCTCTATCAATAGTCAGCACACGATTAACTTCAGCTAGTCAGCGATGAAGTTTTGTTGTAGCCTCTATCAATAGTCAGCACACAATTAACTTTAGCTAGTCAGTGATGAAGTTCTGATGTAGCCTCTATCAGTAGTGATCAGCACACGATTAACTTTAGCTAGTCAGTGAGGAAGTCCTGTTGTAGCCTCTATCAAAAGTCAGCACACTATAAACTTTAGCTAGTCATTGAGGTTGTAGCCTCTATCAGTTGTCAGCACACGATTAACTTTAGCAAGTCAGTGAGGAAGTTCTGGTGTAGCCTCTACTAGTCAGCACACTATAAACTTTAGGCTAGTCAGTGAGGAAGTTCTGTTGTAGCGTTGGCAACTCCTTACACAGTCAACATGTAATTCATCAGTCAAAACAACCTTCAAAAGTCACACGATTAACTTTAGCTAGTCAGCGAGGAAGTTCTGTTATAGCCTCTATCAAAAGTCAGCACACTATAAGCTTTAGCTAGTCAGTGAGGAAGTTCTGTTGTAGCCTCTATCACTAGGCAGCACACGATTAACTTTAGCTAGTCAGCAAGGAAGTTCTGTTGTAGCCTCTATCACTAGGCAGCACACGATTAACTTTAGCTAGTCAGCAAGGAAGTTCTGTTGTAGCCTCTATCAATAGTCAGCACACGATTAACTTCAGCTAGTCAGCGATGAAGTTTTGTTGTAGCCTCTACCAATAGTCAGCACACAATTAACTTTAGCTAGTCAGTGATAAAGTTCTGATGTAGCCTCTATCAGTAGTGAGCAGCACACGATTAACTTTAGCTAGTCAGTGATGAAGTTCTGTTGGAGCCTCTAACACTAGTCAGCACACGATTAACTTTAGCTATTCAGTGAGGAAGTTCTGTTGTAGCCTCTATCACTTGTCAGCACACGATTCACTTTAGCTAGTCAGTGAGGAAGTTCTGTTGTAGCCTCTATCACTAGTCAGCACACTATAAACTTTAGCAAGTCAGTGAGGAAGTTCTGGTGTAGCCTCTATCAATAGTCAGCACACTATCAACTTTAGCTAGTCAGCGAGGAAGTTCTGCTATAGCCTCTATCAAAAGTCAGCACACTATAAACTTTAGCTAGTCAGTGATGAAGTTCTGTTGGAGCCTCTAACACTAGTCAGCACACGATTAACTTTAGCTATTCAGTGAGGAAGTTCTGTTGTAGCCTCTATCAAAAGTCAGCACACAATTAACTTGATGAAGTTCTGTTGTAGCCTCTATCACTTGGCAGCACACGATTCACGTTATCTAGTCAGGGAGGAAGTTCTGGTGTAGCCTCTATCAATAGTCAGCACACTATCAACTTTAGCTAGTCAGCGAGGAAGTTCTGCTATAGCCTCTATCAAAAGTCAGCACACTATAAACTTTAGCTAGTCAGTGATGAAGTTCTGTTGTAGCCTCTATCAAAAGTTAACACGTGATTAACTTTAGCTAGTCAGTGATGAAGTCCTGTTGTAGCCTCTATCACTAGTCAGCCCACGATTAACTTTAGCTAGTCAGCAAGGAAGTTCTGTTGTAGCCTCTATCACTAGGCAGCACACGATGAACTTTAGCTAGTCAGTGAGGAAGTTCTGTTGAAGCCTCTATCACTAGTCAGCACACTATAAACTATTAATAGTCAGCACACGATGAACTTTAGCTAGTCAGTGAGGTTGTAGCCTCTATCAGTTGTCAGCACACGATTAACTTTAGCTAGTCAGCAAGGAAGTTCTGTTGTAGCCTCTATCACTAGGCAGCACACGATTAACTTTAGCTAGTCAGTGAGGAAGACCTGTTGTAGCCTCTATCACTAGTCAGCACACTATAAACTTTAGGCTAGTCAGTGAGGAAGTTCTGTTGTAGCCTCTATCACTAGGCAGCACACGATTAACTTTAGCTAGTCAGCAAGGAAGTTCTGTTGTAGCCTCTATCAATAGTCAGCACACGATCAACTTTAGCTAGTCAGCGAGGAAGTTCTGTTATAGCCTCTATCAAAAGTCAGCACACTATAAACTTTAGCTAGTCAGTGATGAAGTTCTGTTGTAGCCTCTATCAAAAGTCAGCACACAATTAACTTTAGCTAGTCAGTGATGAAGTTCTGTTGTAGCCTCTATCAGTAGTCAGCACACGATTAACTTTAGCTAGTCAGCGAGGAAGTTCTGTTGTAGCCTCTATCACTAGTCAGCACACGATTAACTTTAGCTAGTCAGCAAGGAAGTTCTGTTGTAGCCTCTATCACTAGGCAGCACACGATGAACTTTAGCTAGTCAGTGAGGTTGTAGCCTCTATCAGTTGTCAGCACACGATTAACTTTAGCTAGTCAGCAAGGAAGTTCTGTTGTAGCCTCTATCACTAGTCAGCACCCGATGAACTTTAGCTAGTCAGTGAGGTTGTTCTGTTGAAGCCTCTATCACTAGTCAGCACACTATAAACTTTAGCAAGTCAGTTAGGAAGTTCTGTTGTAGCCTCTATCACTAGTCAGCACACGATGAACTTTAGCTAGTCAGTGAGGTTGTAGCCTCTATCAGTAGTCAGCACACTATAAACTTTAGCTAGTCAGTGAGGAAGATCTGTTGTAGCCTCTATCACTAGTCAGCACCCGATGAACTTTAGCTAGTCAGTGAGGTTGTAGCCTCTATCAGTTGTCAGCACACGATTAACTTTAGCAAGTCAGTGAGGAAGTTCTGGTGTAGCCTCTATCAATAGTCCGCACACTATAAACTTTAGCTAGTCAGTGATGAAGTTCTGGTGTAGCCTCTATCAATAGTCCGCACACTATAAACTTTAGCTAGTCAGTGATGAAGTTCTGGTGTAGCCTCTATCAATAGTCAGCACACTATTAACTTTAGCTAGTCAGTGAGGAGGTTCTGTTGTAGCCTCTATCAGTAGTCAGCACACGATTAACTTTAGCTAGTCAGTGATGAAGTTCTGTTGTAGCCTCTATCAGTTGTCAGCACACGATTAACTTTAGCTAGTCAGAGAGGAAGTTCTGTTGTAGCCTCTATCACTTGTCAGCACACAATGAACTTAAGCTAGTCACTGATGAAGTTCTGTTGTAGCCTCTATCACTTGTCAGCACACAATGAACTTTAGCTAGTCACTGATGAAGTTCTGTTGTAGCCTCTATCCCTAGTCAGCACACTATAAACTTTAGCAAGTCAGTTAGTAAGTTCTGTTGTAGCCTCTATCACTAGGCAGCACACGATGAACTTTAGCTAGTCAGTGAGGTTGTAGACTCTATCAGTTGTCAGCACACGATTAAATTTAGCTAGTCAGTGAGGAAGTTCTGTTTAAGCCTCTATCACTAGTCAGCACACTATAAACTTTAGCAAGTCAGTTAGTAAGTTCTGTTGTAGCCTCTATCACTAGTCAGCACCCGATGAACTTTAGCTAGTCAGTGAGGTTGTAGACTCTATCAGTTGTCAGCACACGATTAACTTTAGCTAGTCAGTAAGGAAGTTCTGTTGAAGCCTCTATCACTAGTCAGCCCACTATAAACTTTAGCAAGTCAGTTAGGAAGTTCTGTTGTAGCCTCTATCACTAGACAGCACACGATGAACTTTAGCTAGTCAGTGAGGAAGTTCTGTTGTAGCCTCTATCAATAGTCAGCACACGATGACCTTTAGCTAGTCAGTGAGGAAGTTCTGTTGAAGCCTCTATCACTAGTCAGCACACTATAAACTTTAGCTAGTCAGTGAGGAAGTTCTGTTGTAGCCTCTATCACTAGTCAGCACACGATTCACTTTAGCTAGTCATTGAGAAAGTTTTGTTATAACCTCTATCAATAGTCAGCACACGATGAACTTCAGCTAGTCAGTGAGGAAGTTCTGTTATAGCCTCTATCAAAAGTCAGCACACTATTAACTTTAGCTAGTCAGTGATGAAGTTCTGTTGTAGCCTCTATCAAAAGTCAGCACACAATTAACTTTAGCTAGTCAGTGATGAAGTTCTGGTGTAGCCTCTATCAATAGTCAGCACATGATTAACTTTAGCTAGTCAGCAAGGAAGTTCTGGTGTAGCCTCTATCACTAGTCAGCACACAATGAACTTTAGTTAGTCAGTGAGGAAGTTCTGTTGTAGCCTCTATCAATAGTCAGCACACGATCAACTTTAGCTAGTCAGTGAGGAAGTTCTGGTGTAGCCTCTATCACTAGTCAGCACACAATCAACTTTAGCTAGTCAGTGAGGAAGTTCTGGCGTAGCCTCTATCACTAGTCAGCACACTATAAACTTTAGCAAGTCAGTGAGGAGGTTCTGTTGTAGCCTCTATCAGTGGCCAGCACACGATTAACTTTAGCTAGTCAGTGAGGAAGTTCTGGTGTAGCCTCTATCACTAGTCAGCACACTATAAACTTTAGCTAGTCAGTTAGGGAGTTCTGTTGTAGCCTCTATCACTAGTCAGCACACGATTCACTTTAGCTAGTCAGTGAGGAAGTTCTGGTGTAGCCTCTATCACTAGTCAGCACACTATAAAATTTAGCAAGTCAGTGAGGAGGTTCTGTTGTAGCCTCTATCAGTGGCCAGCACACTATAAACTTTAGCTAGTCAGTGAGGAAGTTCTGGTGTAGCCTCTATCACTAGTCAGCACACTATAAACTTTAGCTAGTCAGTGAGGAAGTTCTGGTGCAGCCTCTATCACTAGTCAGCACACTATAAACTTTAGCTAGTCAGCGAGGAAGTTCTGCTGTAGCCTCTCTCACTAGTCAGCACACTATAAACTTTAGCAAGTCAGTGAGGAAGTTCTGGTGTAGCCTCTATCACTAGACAGCACACTATAAACTTTAGCTAGTCAGCAAGGAAGTTCTGTTGTAGCCTCTATCAGGAGACAGCACACGATTAACTTTAGCTAGTCAGTGAGGAAGTTCTGTTGTAGCCTCCATCAATAGTCCGCTGTCTGTAACTGGTAAACCTTGGTTCCTTTCTTCAATAGATACCCTTGATTGTTTAGTGAACTTATGAAACTTTCAAAGTCCAGAATGTTGAGGCCAATATCCTAGAAGAAAAAATAGTTTAAAATACAAAAAGGAATTAGATACAATTAACAGTTCCCAAATACAATCTTATTTATTTACTGATTAAAAACCATATTGGTGATGTATTGAGATGTTAAAATGTGACAATAAAGAGTTCATTTATCAAATTTAATTAATATATACATGTACTTCAGTTCATACAACCATACAAAAATAAACAAGAGATCCTAGAAAGATCTTGGTGCCCAAAATCAAAGGATCTTTATCAGATCTAAAGTGAAGTAATAATCTATTTAAGAGATTGGGGGTAAAATTCCCAAAGAATTTAAAGCCAAGCCTAAATTTACACATAGTTGTTCATAAAGTCTCGATCAATAGAGTGAGTAAACCACCTAACATAAACATTACATATATATAACATACAACATGAAGCGGCAAAAAGAAGCCTAGCTCACATAAGCCTCACAAAGGGGCAGCATGTAATAAATCGACAAAAATAGACAAATATGAAGTTACTGTATACATATACATGAACCTGAAAAAAGAACCAACAATTACACAAAAACTCATGATCATGAGGCAAATTAATTAGAGGCGATGCAGGGGTTGGTGGGTGGGTAAGCCAAAACAAACAATTGTAATCTGCCAGCACTACGAGGAATGAAACTGAAGCTGGCAATACCAACACCCCTCTAAGACGTAATCGCTGATTGGTCAAAAGTTACTATGGACTGAATAACATATACTACGATACCTTATATGGTAAGACATCTAATTTGCATAGGTAAACACTATCGCTCTTCGAAGAAGAACACATTCCATAACCAGGTAAAAGAAGGAATTACAAAAATGAACATAAGGGAAAAAGCCTTATATCCTATAACGCTTAATATTGCAAACATATATATATAACAACAAACTATCACATCTACAACTACAGCAGCCAAGGCAATGGAAGGCTTACACAGTTATATATAAACTATAATTTATCATTCCATATCAAATTATTCTGTTATACATAACTTCACACAATGAAAGAGTTAACCTGTTTATTAGTTGAGTTAAGACACAGGTATGTATGTGCAAGCAAAGAACAAGTACTAAAACCTACTGCAAACATTTGGCGTATCAGGGGCTGCTCACTCTATAACAAACCTACTAATAGTAACAAATTCTTTTCAAAAGATTTTAAAGGAAGCTAGACTCTGCGAAGTCACAGAGAAACTTGATAAAGAGCGCGAGCTAGACTCCAAAGAAAACAAGAGAAGCAGCTAGACTCCAGAGAAGGGACTAGACTCCTAATATCCATGGAGAAGCTATAAAAGACTATGAATTGGAAACGCTAGACTCCGAAGAAGGCAAGAGAAGTCACTAGACTCTGGAGGAATCCAGAGAAGCGACTAGACTCATAGCCACCCCAGAGAATATATCTGTTAGATTTCCCATGAGAAAACTGGCTACAGATAAAGTGAAGTAATAATCTATTTAAGAGATTGGGGGTAAAATTCCCAAAGAATTTAAAGCCAAAATGGAACGATTATGTTAATCGACGTAAGAGTGAGAGCCCCCAAGATGATCTGTTACCATCTTTGCTCTTCATTTTCCTTACATGTACTATTACCCAGTACCATGTTGGAAATCCTAAACAGGAATCTTCTACATCAACTTTAACCTCATAATGTCATCTGATGATGGTAGGCTAAATATATAGTCCATTCATTATTTCAGGAAAAACAGGTTAAAACTACAGAATGTTTGGGGGGTATTTTCTAGAGAGAATGTTCTAGTGCTATTTGATAAAGGAGAAAAATAAACCTGAACATTTGATTCTATTTACCTAATGCAGGTCAAATATTTCAACAGTTTTTTTGCATTCATATGCATAACAGGTGTCTCTTCTTGAGATCACATGAATTTGAACCTTGGTCAGTTTAGCTTACTGTACTGATTTTAATTACTGGGAAATTCACCCTGTGAGAGTACATTTGATAACTGTGAAATATGAATACCTTTGAAATTTGTCTCATTTGTGGTATAGTGAATATCGAGTTATAGGTCTGCTCCGAGATTTTCTGCAAAGCCGCTACAAACTTCTTGGGCTGAAACAGGAGTTCTCAATCACGATATTGGATCACACAAGGTTATTTTATGTTTTATTTGGCTATCTGATGACTTCAAAAGTTTAATATAATCCTTTGAAACAGTGTGTAGCTGTCCCTCTCCAGATCATTGTCAAAAATATTGTTTAAGCAGTTTACACATTGAGTCTGTAACTATGCTCCAAACAACAATGAGAATCCCTTCAGCAAAGAATACCATATGTACGACATTCAAATATCTAATTAAACTTACCGGGTAAGCAGTCTTTGGAATACCCCATTTTCTGTAAACAACATTGAATTTCCTATGTCAAGCACTGCTTCAGTTTTTTTCTTTAAAGATTTAAAGGGTGGACAGACAAAGGCTACTGTGCCATAAAATGAACTAACTTTGGTCCTTCTGTCCAGGTAAGCTAAAATTATACCACATGGTCACTCGTGAGATCATCTTTTATGTATATCATCCCTAGAAGAAGAATATTATGACCCCTTAACCTGCAGAACTGATTTTCTGACCATTGAAGCATGACACGTACCTGTGAGCGCCCACTCATGCCTGAGCCATGCTGTGAGCGGCGGAAGTCAAGGCCCCCAAACTGATCTGAGTATGTGTCTACCATACTGTACTTCATGACCTCTATCACATCATTAGCATCATCTTTTGTTGCTTCCTCGCGCAGCTCCAGGCGTGCACGTGCCTCTGTCAGGCGAATCAGTGACTCGAGTTGTCGTGTGGTGATGGGTGTGCTGTCTTGTGTTTGGTGCTGCTTACGGAGCTCCAAGTAAAACTCCTACAGCAGGATAGCAACAATCAAAACAATCTATTTTCTGGATATAATAACGTACAAAGCCTACTCATATTGATAAAACTTTAGATTGAATATCTGAAAACAAAATTGTAGAAATAATTTGCAATTGATAAGCATTGACCTGTCAACTTACCATCTGTCATTTGTCTTTGATTTTGATAAAATGGACATTGATGACTGTCTACCAAATCCCAACAAACTAGACAAAAAAAAACAATAACAAGGTGGTATTGCTCACCTGGATATTTAAGTTATCATGGCAAAATATTCTCATTAAATATTTAACTGAAAATTTCCAAATATTGACTGTCTCTCAGCAACACCAGTACTTTATTGGTTCCAATCCCTCCGTCCCCTTTTGGGAGAGGGTGGGGGCACCCATAGCTTATACAACATTGGGCCAAAGATACTCTGTACAGATTTCTATTTTGAACTCATCTTTTAAGATTTACCTTTATTTACCTTATTGGACCATGCCCCTCTGCCCCCTGGGGAACCAAACATCCTCCACTTACACAAAAGTGAGTCCTTTTTGCTCAAGATGGTTCTAGACAAAATTTGAAGTCCTACAGAAGGAGAAGCAATTTTTAAGATTTTCGCTATTTCACCCTATTGGGCCCTGCAAAACTGTGAAACCACACCTTTCAGATACATAAAATTGAGTCTCTGCTTATGTGACAAAAAGGATCTTACACTCGTTTTCATTTCATATGAAATTTATGAAACTTGTCACAAATTTCTCACTTTAGATCACCAGAGGCTGGCTAAATTGAAAAATTCTTAGACTCGTTTCATAAATCTCGTATGAAATGGAAACTCGTGTAAGATCATATATATATATATCAAGACAGTACCAGAAAAACTAGAACTGTAAGGCAAAGGCTAACCAAGGCAAAGAATTGCAAAGCAATCCATAGTCCCCACCAGTAATGCTTTCTATATTGACTGAGCTGTACACCTTTTTTAGGATATAGGTCAGTGACACACTTCCTGGACTCCTCATGCCAAAACATGCTTGCACACAAAGTCTGGTTAGTCCAGATGAATCAGTAATAGATATGCCCCAAACAAACTTTTTCAAAGGTTGAGGTCAAATGCAAAAGCAAAGGTCACAGTGACCTATAGCTACTTTTTGTATTTGACATTCCACCATCCCATGATGTCCTTGCATACCAAATCTGGTTACTCCAGGTGAAATAGCATAGAAGATATGCCTCAGACAAACTATTTCAACAGGTTGAGGTAAAAGGTCAAAGTATAGGTCACTGTCATATGGTGACATATTCTTGAATGTTGCACTTTGTTATCCCAAGAAGATATTTGCATACCAAATCTGGTTACTCAAGTGAAATAGTATAAAGAATAAAGACATGTCCAGACAATTATTTCACTAGATAAGGTCAAAGCATAGGTTGCAGTGACCCACTTTTTGGTATTTGACATTCCACCATCCCAAGATGTACTTGCAATCCCAATCTGATTACTCCAGCTGAAATGATATAGAGATATGCCCCAGACAAAGTTTGTCAAAGGTTAAGGTCAAAGGTCAAACCATAGGTCACAGTGACCTACTTTTCATATTTTACACTCTAACCTCTCAAGATGTTCTTGCATACCAAAATCTGATTGGACAAGGTGAAATAGTATAGAAAATATGCCCTGAACAAACCTTTTCAAAGGTTGACAAGGTTCATACAAAATTGAGTCCCCTTTGCCCATAGTAGCTCTAGAACAAATTTGGTCAAAATCCCTCTATTGATATTGAAGGAGATGATTTTGGAAAATTAACCTCTATATCCCCTTTGGGCTTTGGCCCTCTGCCCCCAGGGGAGCCACACCCTCTGTTTATATAAAATTGAGAACACTTTCGCCAAGGATGCTCAAGATCAAGTTTGGTTAAAATCCACTCTGCCATTAAGGACAAGTAGAGTTTTACAGGAAAAGTTGATGGATGTGCACTAGCTCCTTTCATCATAACGAGTTTTTGATGTCTCACCTGTAGAACAGTAGCAGCTTCTTTCCCGATCTTTGGGCGGACATACTTTCTGGCATACCCGACATACTACAAACAAACGTTCTCAAAATCAGACAACACAATTTTCCAAATCTGATAATCTAAGAATTTAACATGTCAAATAACTGTATTGATCTATAAAAGAATTAAAGACTTCAAGAAAATGCAGAGACAAGGATTCAATTCTAATTAATCTCTTAGTTTTGTTGAGATAAATTTCTGCAGAGGGTAAATCATTCTCACATATGCTAATTTATTAATGGAATTTCCATTCCTCAATCTTTTGTGAAGATCCATAGATATTGATTTGAAAATAAAGTCTGTAAAGTGATGGAGAAGATTTCCTTAAAACAGTTAGTGACATTGTGGCACTCAAAACATGTCTGAGGTAGTCATCATAAACATTGGTATGAAATTCCACGAATCTCTTAGGAAGATAGTTTTCAGAGTAATGACCAAGATTCAGTAAATAGTAACAGTGTCCTTGACTATGAGTGCGGCATCTTTAATACTCGTATCAATGTCCAAGGTCATTGGAAAATAAAGTTTATAAAGTGATAAGAAAAAAATGTAGCTATAGCTGCAGTGACTATGACCTTGACCTTAGCACCTTGAATAATAATTTAACTTGCTGAAAGCACCATCTTACCTAATACTTGTAATAAGTTTCATGGTTTATTAGGAGATAAAGTAGCTAGACCAATGATATAGATTTTTTTTAAAACAAATAGTAGAAAGACCTTGAGTGCAGCACTCAAACATGATCAAGGTTATCTCATATTTGAAAATCTGTCTGAAAATAAAGCAGGCCAAGTTGTGATAATTCGAGGTTCTTATATACCGCTCTATCACAACCTAAATTCTAAGATGTCTCAAAGAGGTTCACAAATTATTATTCATGGTTATAGGGCCTTTGCAACCAGCCAGTATCTTTCTCAACTCCCTGGGTAGCATGCAGCCGGTGCTGCCATTTCAGCGCTCACAGCTAGAATTCAACAATTCCAGTACTGCCAAACCAAATACTCATTTACAGCTGAGTAGATTGGAAAAAGCTGAGTAAAGTATCTTGTTCAAGGATACAACACAGTGCCACGACGTGACTGAAACCCGCAACCCTTTGGTCACGAGACCAGTGTCCTACCACTAGACCACTGTGCCTCCTTCGTATTGGTAACACATTGATACACCTACAGGCAGAAATACTATGTCACCACAGCATATAGTGGAAGTCCAGTCCATTTCCATATCAAACTCTTTGATTTTGACAACTTACCAAGAGGATGGAATTTTACAATAACTGGGTATAAGATCAGGTTTACTGTTCAGTAGTTAACCTACCATGAAAAGATACTTGGAGGACAGATATACCTTTCTGAGTAGTTGGGCTGGAATGGGATCAAAGGCTTCTCCTCGAGGAACCTTCAGTCTGTCACTTAGGGGTTTGTCTGTCTCCGTCAGCAGGATGGAGTCGTCTCCCTTGTAGGGTTACATCAGAAAGTGTTTTTCAATCAATTCCTTTGGTCTATTTTATATATATATATCAATGGGAGCACAAATATTTTCAGTTTTAATATCACACTAACCTGTTTATGTTTTGTTTACAGAGTCATATTATCTCTTTACAGAAAATCATTTGGGGAAGTTAACTTTAATATGAAATTTCTGCTTTTTTCTTTCTTTCTAGTAATATCATGTTTCCATCTATTTCACAGTTGACTGATTCACCTTTGCACGAATTGTCTCCTCAGATTTTGTTATACATGTACACATAAATCTAGGCAAGTGCTTCACTTCAAATTTCATAAGCAAAATAATAAAATATAATTTAATTTACCCCTGATCTTCTTGCTGTGACTCTTGTCATAGATCTGAAAATAGGCCACAATAGAAATATGGTCAAAATAACACCATCTGCACAATGTTGTGCAGAAGTCAGTGTGATTGAAGAAGGAAAAGTTTCAAGACTTCATTAATAACGATCTCAAAGACATAATACATATAACTATTACATAGCTATCTTATCACAACACATAATAAATTGATTAATGGATATAACATTGTTCAATACATATCACATGGGTCAAAAGGAATGGCCAGGTTTTGAGTTTACAATCCTTGAAATGGTGTGTTCTAACTTTTATATTTAAACCCCTAAAAACTTCATTTAATCTTTGATCAATAGATTGTTCCATTATAATACCACAGAGAGTAGGATTAACTCTCACCTGTTTTTGCCAGCATGCAGGGCCATGACATGTTCAGACAACATGCTATCCATTTCCTGTAAAATGTAAAATAAATTAAAAATACAGTCAATTAAAACTTCTCAATAACCACTCAGCAATTTGCAGTTCAATGTGTATTTCAAAATATTTCCAAATACCCCGGGAAATTTCAAGATAACTGGTTACCACCCAGTACATACCGTGTTTTCCCCCCATAAACATGGTGGGTTTAAAGAGTCAAGTATAAACTTGTACAACAACACACAACTATTTCCTGTTACCGGTGGTATTGTTAATTTTTCATGTCTAGAATCTGATCTAGCACACTAAAACTTACCTCATCTGGTTTGTCGAGGAGAATGAACACAAGATCAAATCTTGACAACAGGGCACTTCCCATCCTTATAACACAATCATATCAAAACTGATGATTTTTAATTTATCTAGACAGAAAATTAGTCAAAACAATATTCTATATTTTTTTCTTGCTATTATGTAGACCAAAGATTTCTCTTTAATTCAAATATTTGCATAAGGAGAGAATGGTTTTTTCAATTTCATACTGGTATGAATGCAAATGGTTTATAAACATAAAACTCCAAAATAAATATAGCTCTGTGAACACAATTTCATCTGGTAATACTTATAGAGGAAATTGCAGTGAATATGTAAATAAACTTAGTATTTATATATCATTCACAAAAAAGGCTCTTCACACATAAATTGTTGACACTTGTTCCAAATGGAAATTGCAATATCAAATACATAATTTCCGCTAGAATTATCGAATTTGGAAAATGTGAAAAAAATCAAAAAGCTTACTTACTTGAGATTTTCTGATACAGTTTTAGATTTGTTATAGTGACCTCCTACAGGATTAGCAGCAGCTATGATCGACGTCCGTGCAGGCAAGCTACAGACATAAATCACAAAATAGTACATAAGGACAATGTTAGCAGTATCCAAATCAGGAATCGGAGATCTTCCATAAAATTCATCTGTTTGGAAATTTGTAAAATCAAAGTTTTACTTTATACACAATGTGAACACACTGTATCAAAATCACATCATCAATTGGGTATGTCACAATAGTTAAAAGGGAACTACATACAAACACGAGAAAATCAAATCAAAATCAGGAAAAATTAAACCCTGAAGAGAGACATGGGGAACACCAGCTGAGTCATCTGTAGGACCCACTTCTGACCTAAACCGGAGAAGGGGATGGATCTATACCCAACCAGTAACATATTCAATACAGTGTGTATACACTCTCTATTGATAGGCAAAACATCCCGTGTTAAGTGACATATGAAATTTACAGTGTGGACACATTGTTGTACAGGTAAATAATATAAATCAGTCATTCGGTCATTACTTGACAAAGTGACCAGTCAGTCTTGAAACATTGCGACACATTTAATATGTACATTGTTTGTGTATAAAGTAAAACTTTGATATGAATCAGAGTAGATGGTTTTACATGTGCTACTAAAATTTGTCCGGTTTGACAACCCTAGTAACAAAACAACATTATAAAGTAATCATATATAAGCATATGATCTAATGTAACATTGCTAAATGTGACATCAGACGTAAGACAAAGGATATAGTGTCTTGGCATAATGTTGTTGCAGCTCGTACCTGATGCTGATAATTTGATACGTACCCGATGCCGATAATTTGATACGTACCTGATGCTGATAATTTGATACGTACCTGATGCCGATAATTTGATACGAAACCCGATGCTGATAATTTGATACGTACCTGCAGACAATTCCTGCCTTGGCCACACTGATACTCTGTTGCTCCTGTAAATATAAGGTTGGACCGGTTGAGAATGCTCATTGTTACATTGTCACTATCTAAGTGTAAACTGGGGATGTAAACATGCAGCACCAGCTTTATACAGAAGTACAGTAAACACAGAGGTCTCCAAAAAATGTCTGGAATAACAAGTAATACATCTTTATTAAACATACATATTTGCTTTGCAATTATCTGAATCTGGACCTGTATTCGTGAAACCACTCACATGCTCAAGAATAGATTCTGTGCTCAAACCAATATTTTTTTTTAATTGCTAAAATCATGTGACACTATCAAAAAGCCAAGCATAATCTCTCCAATATTTTTCCAAATCATTTACAAAATGAATACAGGCCCTTGTGACTAGATAAAGTGTGTTGTAAAGCTTCTGCAGGTGATGCAGGTATGTTCAAGTTTATTTAAGTTATCTTCAATGTTTTAAATACAGCTCAGACAAGATTTCACTTAAAGTTTTGTACTTATTGGACTTTTGTTATAAAGGCAAAAGTCATTGTGACATAATTGCAATGTACTGCTTGCCTTCAATAGCTGATGCAAGTATACTTCAAGATACATCAAAACATCTAAAAAAAAGTTTAAAACTGATGGCCAGAACAAGATTCCACTGGAAAGTTCACTTATTGACCTTTGACAGTGAGGTGCAGGACACAGTGACCTAATTACATTGCATTGTGGGTGATGCAGGCATGCTTAAAGTTTGATCAATACACCTTTTACAGTTTAACCCTTTCAACCCTATGTAACTTTAGTAGACTCTACCATGTATTGATCTGGATGAGTCCATTATGGTTTACAGTGGTGAAAGGTTAAAATATATAGCCCAGATAAGACTGTATTAGAAGGACCAGTACTTATACAATATGTCTTTCCCCATTGGAAGGAGAGACACGGTGCTAACATGCCTCACTTTTAACTGACCATAGCCTCCAGTAATGCCTGGTGTTAACATGCCTCACTTTTAACTGACCATAGCCTTCAGTAATGCCTGGTGTTAACATGCCTCACTTTTAACTGACTATAGCCTCCAGTAATGCCTGGTGTTAACATGCCTCACTTTTAACTGACCATAGCCTCCAGTAATGCCTGGTGTTAACATGCTTCTCTTTTAACTGACCATAGCCTCCAGTAATGCCTGGTGTTAACATGCAATACTTTTGACTGACCATAGCCTCCAGTAATGCGTGGTGTTAACATGCAGTACCTTTAACTGACCATAGCCTCGAGTAATGCCTGGTGTTAACATCCAGTACTTTTAACTGACCATAGCCTCCAGTAATGCCTGGTGTTAACATGTCTCACTTTTAACTGACCATAGCCTCCAGTAATGCCTGGTGTTGATTTCCCATCTTGTCAAACTCATCAATACAGCAGCACCCTTGGTCAGCCAGCACCAGGGCACCTGCCTCCAAGGCAAAATCTCCAGATCCACCATCTCTTGACAAAGTCACCTGCAACAAGATTAAATATTCCAGAATCTCAAAGCATAAAAATGTGTATAAATAGTTGAAAAGGGAAAACAAATAATACAAAAAACAAGCAGAACACAGTTCAAAGGCTTGAAGAAAACTTGAAGATAAGTGATATCTTACTTTGTTTTTAAGTAATGACTGACAAGAAATTATTCCAAATTAAATTCTGTTTGTCAATTCAAACTTCAAAGTAGGACTGAAAGGAAATGAATCATTTCTATTCATCTATAGGCATTGATCCAATTATTTTTAAGAGTTAATCCATAAACTGTTATAAAAACCTGATCAATAAAGCGTTTTTAAAGAGTTTATTCATAAATTGTAAACCAATGAGTGGGGCCCTGCTATAAATACTACAACATTGTAGCAGTATAAAACAGGTAACTTACTGTCAAACCTGAGGTAGTTGTAGTGTTACCACACACATATACACTTCTAGGGGCTATGTTGGAGGCCGACTGTAACATCTGAGGAAACAATATATACATGTATGTATGTTTCATGCAGTACATATATGCAGCATAATATTGGTATTCAACAAGATTTCATCTTCAAAACTGGTTTAGACTAGTAAAAGTGTGAGCGAGCTCACAAAAATATACCCCAAGTTACAAAAAACAAACCATTCGGAGGACTCGCACTTACAAGGTTTCTGGAGAGAGAAAAAAATCAAGTTCCATGGGCCACAACTGCAGGAAAAATAGTTGAATCGCAAAATCCTTTTTTCATGCAAATCTACATATTAATGATGTAGATTCACTGTGTCAAGTTACAAAGAAATCCAATAAATGGTTTAGGAGTAGATGTGCTTACAAGGTATATGGACAGATGAACAGACGAATCGACAGGGTGTTTCCTATATGCAACCCCAAACTTTGTTTGCAGGGGGTATAATAACTTCTTTTCATTAAGTGTGACAACCTTTTTTTTCAAATTTTATTGTGGAACTCTAAATAACATTAGTTGCTTTGAATTGCATATCATTTCGTGGTTAGTTCACAAAAAAGGTATTAAACATTGTGACAAAAATGTTGAGACTGAAAGCTATCCCAAATAGAAATTTACAACCATATAATAATACCGCAGAAATACAGTATCTTTGAAATATAATATTGCCAATATTTTCAGGATCCCTATATGCTATTTACACATAATCTACACTTACTCGACACTTGTGTGTAACCTACACTCCTTGTACATGTAAGGTACATTACTGTCACCTCAACTTTTGTATCAACTAGATATACTAAATTAAACATTTATAGAATGAGAGAATGAAAGTATACATAATTTTATAGTACATTGAAGAATGAGATCGCTCTTACATGAGAACACTAAATTGTAAAGAAGCTGACCCCGAGGCTCCCGAACCCCAGCAGACTTCTACTATATTTGATGGGGGAATAAAATTTGTCCAAAAAATGTTTGTATCTAACCTACCTGACTCTTGTCCAGCCCAGGATCATACATTTACGACTCTTACCTAACCCAGGATCACACACCTATCTGACTCTTGTCCAGCCCAGGATCACACATTTACGACTCTTACCTAGCCCAGGATCACACACCTATCTGACTCTTGCCCAGCCCAGAATCACACACCTACCCGACTCTTGCCCAGCCCAGGATCACACACCTACCTGACACTTGCCCAGCCCAGGATCACCCACCTACCTGACTCTTGCCCAGCCCAGGTTCACCCACCTACCGACTCTTGCCCAGCCCAGGAGCACACACCTACCTGACTCTTGCCCAGCCCAGAATCACACACCTACCCGACTCTTGCCTAGCCCAGGATCACACACCTACCTGACTCTTGCCCAGCCCAGGTTCAACCACCTACCGACTCTTGCCCAGCCCAGGATCACACACCTACCTGACTCTTGCCCAACCCAGGTTCAACCACCTACCGACTCTTGCCCAGCCCAGGATCACACACCTTCCTGACACTTGCCCAGCCCAGGATCACACCCCTACCGGACTCTTGCCCAGCCCAGGATCACACCCCTACCTGACACTTGCCCAGCCCAGAATCACACACCTACCTGTCTCTTGCCCAGCACAGGATCACACACCTACCTGACTCTTGCCCAGACCAGGATCACACACCTACCTGACTCTAGCCTAGCCCAGGATCCCACACCTACCTGACTCTTGCCCAGCCCAGGTTCAACCCCCTTCCGACTCTTGCCCAGCCCAGGATCACACACCTCCCTGCCTCTTGCCCAGCCCAGGATCACACCCCTCCCTGACTCTTGCCCAGCCCAGGTTCAACCACCTACCTGACTCTTGCCCAGCCCAGGATCACACACCTACCTGACTCTAGCCTAGCCCAGGATCACACACCTACCTGACTCTTGCCTAGCCCAGGATCACACACCTACCTGACTCTTGCCCAGCCCAGGATCTCCTACCACCAAGACGTGTGGATCACCTCGCACTGGGATACGGTTCTAAGCAATCAGAACAAACAATGATTATCAATTACAGTAGCGCTCTGGATCTTTCAATTTCACAAGGAAAACACCCGTACATGTTTATACCAATTACATAGTGAGGGAGACGCATGATCATATTATTTTTTTGTGAATGAAAGAAATATCAAAGAAAAGAGAATCGGTTCTCTAAATAGGGGAAATTTAAACTCATAACCAAATCATTGATAGACTATGCATGCTGTTATCTAAAACACATATTTTGAGACCAAGTTGGATCATCATGCCTTCTATATTTATATCTGTATTATGTATGTTACTGTGTTTTAGATTTAATGAAGGAAAAGATAATGTGGCTATGGTTGATTTATTTCATATCTGAAATATACAAGTATACCTTATCGTTTGTGTATTTCTGTGTTCCTCCAAAAAGTCCCAGGATCAGTCCAGCTTTCACCAACTGTAAGCGTAAATGTACTAGAGTTATTGTTCCTTTTACTTAGTCTAACAATTACAGGTACTACTGTATACCGGAAACTTTCGCCAAGTCAAATATTTCCCCTTCACTGGTAAAATCCATATTCACCCTTCACATCTATTCCGTCTTTGCGTATTGCAGAGTTATCTTCTCTTGGGAGCAGGTATTGATTGTTACATCATTGGTTTGGGTTCACAAACAAATGACGTACCAATCAATACCTACTCCCAAGAGAAGATAACTCTGCAATATGCAAAGACGGATATACAATACATGGTATACTGTGCAATAAGGTTTGCTGTCATGATAAATTCGCCCGCCATAAAAAGGCGAAAGTTAAACTGCGACAAAAAGTTGCCGGTACACAGTATAGAATATGCAACCTAAACTACTGAGTAAGACATGTTTATAAGGACCCTATATAGCTACAAGACCTGAAGAAATCAGGGCCGTTTTTCGTTTACCCGGTTGAACCAGTCGAACCACAGTTGTTCGTCAATTAATAAAGGTCGGACCTAGTAATCTGATGCTGCTTTCAGGCAAAGCCTTGACAAAGCCTTGCAAGGCCTGTATAAACATTTGCAGGTCCGCCAGGATTTCCCCCGAAATTGTTACATTTATAAACCGTCAAACCGGTTGTTCCGCATAAACGAACAGGCCCCAGGTCACTACATAATTAAATTTGTTTTTAGAATTTGATATTCAGGAGACATTTCCCCCCAGGATATCATATATAGCTCTGTCATACAAGAATTCATAAAAAGTCTACCCTAATATCTCAATATTAATCTGACTTGACTATAGGCTGGCATTGAAAATAAGCTTTGGATTCCTGACAGTCCAGCATATCTTGATAATCAGCCGTCTTTGAAAGTAAGCTGGTCTTGAAATATGCATTGGAATCCAGACAGAAGCCGCATTTTTCTTAGTGTCTGCCTTAACAGGTTTTACTGGTAAATATTACATTACAGAATTTATTATTGAAACATTCTGATAAAAGAAAAAAACAATCAATATTGATTTCAATAAAAAACTGGTATAACATTATGTTTTCTCATGTGAAAAAGAGAAGGTCTTGAAAATATGCCATTGAAGGCATTCTGTCTAAATGACTGCGAAAAATAAGACTGCTTTGTAAATAGCCTGGCTTCAAAATTAAGCTGGAATTTCTTACTAAAAATGGAAATAAGCCGCAGCTTGTTATAGAGATTTTTGGGTATCATGACATCACCATCGTGATATCAGCATTATAAATGTTATATCATTATGATTATGACATCCCCAAAATCATGACATAACCATTCTGACATCACAATATTTGATATCACCTGAAATGAGTTTTGACCCATATCCAATTAAATCCTTATATGATTTACTTGCAATGCAGTTTGCACAAAGAATGAAACTATTAGGATAAATATCGTGTCCTTGTCACTTACTGAACCAAGACACAAAATATACATGAACAGGATTGTATAAAGTGCTAAAAGGTCCAAAATACTACTAGGTAGTTGCTGCAATAACTACGGTACAGATTCTAAACTCCACTTTACTCAGCTTCTTTTTATTCCTGTGATAATCTACAATCAGTGTTATAGCCTCACCCTTTTACACATGACAAGGACTGAACAAAGCATGTCATTCACACTAAATACTTAGAACGGGAAAATCTGATGAAATCACTGTAACCTTTCTTGTTACAGTGTCGTAATTGGTGAGATTACATGTTACTTATCAAGCAAATTATTTGATGGTGTTATTACACTGCATAGCAGCCTGAGTATACACTGTACACATGTGATTTAAGCCATAGCAGCCCGAGTATACACCGTACACATGTGATTTAAGCCATAGCAGCCCGAGTATACACTGTACACATGTGATTTAAACCAACTCTGGAATGTATCCCATACTCACTAAATTTCCTTCCCAATGACTATATGTTTCCCTGGACGTATCACCATAAAAACTGCATCCCAAAAAGTAAATGACAAGTAGTCCATGTTTTAGATTCAGTTAAGTGATTCCAAACCTACACACCCTTTTTCTGCAAACTTCCCTATACAATGTATTTACTATAGTGCAGCACTTGTTTACCTCATGTCCATATATAGAAGGGCACACAGACCTGAAACAACAAAACAGATGATAAATTTCAACAAAAGATTATACTTGGTTTGTTGTAAACATACCGGGTAAACTATGAGGATTTTTTTCATACAAAGCAAGGTTAAAAGACTTAAGGATATTCATTCAGTCTGAAAAAATCAAAGAGCACACTGGAGGTGAGGAAATAGTCTTTTACTCAACAGATTGTACATGATTTGGAATTCCCTACCTGGGAGCATGATTCAACACCAAACCTAACAACATTCAAAAACTGCCTTGATAAATTTCGGGGAAGGGCACTATTACATATCGTAATTAGATACGGACTATGATCTCAATATAAAGGCAGATATAACTGTGTTAAAAAAAACATAAGATGAACTAATTAATACAATAAAGTAACACCAACCCAATACATATCAAATTGTAAGCATTGGTTGGACCCATACTAAATCCAAATGTACAAATCTGAAATAGCTAAATCATACATTATGGCACAATTTTTAAATTCAATTTAGTTATTTTTAAAATTCTAGAAATGAGTACTTTATTTTTGTGAGTATATCACCAATCAAATCTTACTCTTATGTTTGATGAGTAAATCACCAATCAAAATCTTACTGTAATGTTTGATGAGTATATCACCAATCAAAATCTTTCTGTAATGTTTGATGAGTATATCGCCAATCAAAATCTTAGTGTAATGTTCGATGAGTATATCACCACTCAAAATCTTACTGTCATGTTTGATGAGTATATCAGTTCACTTATCAAAATCTTACTTAATGTTTGATGAGTAAATCACCCATCAAAATCTTACTGTGATGTTTGATGAATATATCACCAATCTAAATCTTCCTGTAATGTTTGATGGGTATATCAGTTCACTTATCAAAATCTTACTGGAATGTTTGATGAGTACATCACCAATCAAACTCTTACTGTAATGTTTGATGAGTATATCACCAATCAAAATCTTAGTGTAATGTTTGATGAGTATATCAGTTCACTTATCAAAATCTTACTTAATGTTTGATGAGTATATCACCAATCAAAATCTTACTGTAATGTTTGATGAGTATATCACCAATCAAAATCTTACTGTAATGTTTGATGAGTATATCACTTATCAAAATCTTACTGTAATGTTTGATGAGTATATCACCAATTAAAAATCACATGAACTACATAACCATCATATGACCTACAATAGCAATCACATGACCTACATTACCATTCACATGACCTACAATAGCAATCACATGACCTACATTACCATTCACATGACCTACAATAACAATCACATGACCTAAAATAGCAATCACATGACCTACATTACCATTCACATGACCTACAATAGCAATCACATGACCTACATTACCATTCACACGACCTACACTACCATTCACATGACCTACAATAGCAATCACATGACCTACATTACCATTCACATGACCTACAATAGCAATCACATGACCTACATTACCATTCACATGACCTACATTACCATTCATATGACCTACATTACCATTCACATGACCTACATCAATAGTAACATTCAATTCGTTATCTTTTTTTAGATTAACAAAACATGACCTACCCAACCAGGAGTCTGAAGGTGTTGGTTTCACTCTGTATCTCCTCAATGGCATAGAGTTCCTTGATGGAGAAGTCGATGGCCAGGCCTGCTGTGTCTCCAGACTTGTTGCCTTTAGTGTTGTTGACAGAGTTGGCCTGTAGGTACAGCAGGAACATACACTTGTCTTTGTTACGTCCCCGACCTGTAACAGTCACAGACTTGAGTAAAAAAAAACTATTTATTTAAGATATTTGTTAACATATGTGCACTTATTATGGTGAAATATTATATAAGCCTGTGAAAATTTTGGAAAAAATGATTAAGGAAGGCTGCTTTGGCCTGGGATAAAAATTTATTCTTTTTATTCAAATCTTGAGTTTTATCCATGAAAGTTTACTGGATAACAAACAACTGTTTTTTAATGTCTTGATGACAAGAAAAATGTTCAACTTGATTATGTTTTCCAGAGGCCTAGCCAACAAGACACAGTCAATGAAACCAAAATATATTATATGTTCTAATATGACTTGAGCAAAATACTAACTAAGTAACTTACCCTCATCCACACTGTTGACCTTGACCACTCCAGATACTGTCACTATGTCCCCAGGAACAGCACTGTCCACTGGTCAATGGAAAAAAAGTATGAAATAAAACCACTTAAAATTTGTATCAAGCAGACATTGCTGCAATATTCGCCAAAAAAGTGTATTTGGATAGATTCGATACAGTGGGTATACACTCTCTATCATTAGACAAAACGTCTTGTATCAAGTGACATATGAATTATACAATTTCGTCACACTATTGTACAGGCTAACAATACAAATCGTGTACTCCGTCATGCTTGACCAACGAACCAGTTGGTCTTGAAACGTTGCCACACGTTTAATGTGTATATTGTGTATAAAGTAAAACTTGGATATTATTTGGATAGAGGTTTTACCTAGATCTTGTGTCAGTTCACAGTCGATAGTCCTTGGTATCCGTCCTGTCTCCTTCTGTGTATCCCCCATGATTTCTTGCACTCTTTAAAAAGATGTTGAACATACATGTTTTAGTACTTATCTTATTTTACTGATTTATTTTTACCAAATCTGACACATACATTCAAACACATGTATGAAACATTTCGACCTTCCGATAAGTAAGAAGTACCTACACACTGACCAGTCTCAAACATCATTTAATATTAAGATACCCGAATAATTGAATATGCTGAACTGCCTGGTAAGGTTATGCCTTCTTGGAACAGTTGACTGCCACGGAAATAGCCTCAGTCCAGTGTTTCAAGATACAAAGAGTTGTTCATGCAGTGGTTTGCAATTTAAGTTAGATGATGAAATTTTGATATCATGACCTGTCTTTAAAAAAGATTCCATGCACAGTTATTACAATTAGTCCAAGCTCAGTTAAAAGTTGAAAATACAAAAACTGAATTGTGAAATAGTGCATGTAATTACAATGAAACCTGCTTTAAATGCCACCTGTTTATTTGGTATTAAAGTAGATACTTCATTTGGTTTATCTGGGGGTTTTCAAGTTGTTTGCATTGAAACATATATGTTATGTCCTGAATTTGTCTTTAGAGAGACTATCTTGTATTTACATAAATAATTGTATCTATCAAATAAATATGTTAAAGCAAAAAAAGGGTTACCTTCGAAAATTTACTATCACAGTATCAACTAATTAAATCCTCCAAATATTAAGCAAATATTAACAGTAATGTACAAGGTTTCTGATTGTGGTAATTAATCCTGAGAAAATGTGAACCTTATGTCCAGTTAACTTGCTAACATTGCTGTACCTGATAGTTTGCCAGTCTATTGTCTGTGTAAGATCAGAGCTACGCCTAGGTACGAAGGTCTTGCTTCTACACTCCTGGGACGGACACTACAAAAAGCACAAAAACAGTGATACAAGTAATCCTTTTTCACATTAACATATACACTGACCATGACAACACACGAGGACGTGAAAACAAGAAAAGCATGTTCGTGTCGATTCTTGACTCGAGGAAATCTCCCTTGGACCAGCCAGTGTAAACAAGACACACAGTCATAGCAATCCAATGAGTGAGAACTGAGGACCACTAAGTTGATTCATTTAAATCTGAAAAGAATTTATACCAGATTTGTTGCCATGTTATGACTCAAATGTGAGCCATCATCTAAACATAATATTATAATGATGGCTTGCCTTAGAGTCAAAACATGTCAACAAGGCTTATTATGGTGTTATACTAGTGAGGACTTCGTATACCGAGTGTATCCAATGTTCACTAGATTTCTACTTATACACAACCTACAAGTATGTTGCATCTCCACACATCTGTAGTGAAACAAACACTATGGAACACTCCAGGAACAGTGAGCCAATAAATCTATAAAAAATCTATTAAAATTCTTAACATAGGACCTCAGATATTTTGAGAAACAGTATATTTGTGAAGTGTAGGGAAAATACACCTAAAAGTGAGAAAAGAGCAAGATCCCAAAATTTTTACTCACCTTTGTTGGTAAAACATATTTTCCATCTGGTAATGAAACACTCTGCAAAATAAAATTTTACATTACAAAGTAATGCAGATATAAACCAAGTTGAATTACATATTTTATAATAATTTTTGCATGAATTACATTATTGTACCTGTATTAAAATAATGGGAAACAAATGATTTAGGCTTTGATAGCAGTCTTATGCTTTGATTAAATGCATAAAATTTTGTAGCATAAAAACAAACAATTTTGTGCTAACAGTATACGTAACATCAAACATATTAGGCCTTGACAACAACTGAAGAGTGAAGTGAACCTGGGAATGGTCGGTTGACTTTCATAGCAGGTATCAGGAATATGAAAACTATGCGATATTGAGTACAACTTGGATCAGAAGAAAGGCTTTGCCAAGTTTTTAATCAAAACTTCTACACCAGATTATTACAATATCTCATTTCCCTACAAAATGATCCACACTTTCATCAATTAACTTGGAAATAGTAAAAAATTGACAATGGGATAACATGTAATTTTATAAATAGAGTTTCTAGATAATGTATTAATTAACAGCAAGATAAGCTACAATCTGTACTGTTGAATCCACGTACCTGTACCATTCCACAGCTATTGCATTCAAACGCGAGGCGGGTACACAGTGGTTTGATATTACCAACCCTCACCACTGTCCCCTTGATGGAAATAAACTTTCCTGTAATTTAAAAGTGTTTGAATCAAACTGTAAGGTAAGTACTGAGGAACAACAAAAATGGCTTTTCTTGGGTTATACTTCCACAAATAGTACTGAGGAATCGCAAAAATAGCTTTTCTTAGGTTATAATCCACAAATAATACTGTAGAACAACAACAAGAGGCCCAGAGGGCCTGTATCGCTCACCTGTTTCTTTTGTTACATGAAACTGACATATAGGTAACTTCAGACCGTATTTGGTAACTAGAACACAAGACATTTTAACATGTCTTAAACGGTTCGATATTGTTCGTTTTAAATTTGAAAGATTAATTTCAAAGCTTTTAATCCACGTTGACCTTTGACTCAAGCCACTATGACCTTGAAAGTAGGTCAAGGTCATCTTAATGAGGAGCATTCTATCCCAGGTACCTGCTGGCAAATATCACGACACTGGGCCTTATGGAACTTGAAAGATTGTTAAAGCTTTTAACCCATGTTGACCTTTGACCCCTGACTAGCACTTAAAGATGACCTTCGACCTCATTATTGTAATTAAGAAAAGATTCACACAGCTGGTGTACATAACATATCCAAGTATCGTGACTCTAGTCCTTATGGTCCTTTATATATTAATGGTTGAATTTTTAAATATATTTGAAAATAAAGGTAGGCTAAAACAGCTTAATTTAAAGTTATTGAATTTTTCAAATTTCAAATCTCAAAAGAGATTTCTTATACCGGAGTATATGAAACTTTATTAATTTCTACATAAGCATGAAGATAAGCCCCAGAAGACAGGAAGATTAGACTTCAGATCTCTGAATCGATAAAACTATTATCACAATAATAAAGTATTCCGTCTGACTGATGTTTGAAAAAGCAATTATCTGAACTTTTAAGTAAAATGCATTTTTTTCATTATTCTGCTGTAAAACACTGTACACAAAGTGCCTTATAATTAGTCCACCACGACTAATTGAAAAATAGAAATGTGTAACATAACATGTCTTGAGAAGTCATTTTAGGCTCAAATCCTACATGTGCTGTACTGCAGTGTGGCAAATATTGAGAACATCATCCATGAATACCAGCATCACAGCCAATCAAGTATATAGTAGTATGGACAGATGGAGGAACAGACATCCTGATTCAAGCAAACCCTAATCCTACCTTGGGTCCGAGGCATTGTAATTAATAAATTTTTGACACAAAAATTACTTTACAAGAACTTGAAAAATACTTCAAAGTTTGTCCGGTTAACAAACAAATAACACAGTTCCTAAGTTTGGAATAAAGGTATAAAACAACCATGACCATTGACAATGCTAGACAATCATGTTGTCCAAGTTAGAAAGGAGGCTATATCATAGTACCATAATAATTGGCCTTAAGGTTTTTCAAAGGTATAGGTGAGCCGAAGTTTGTAACCCTCGCCTGGATCATAGGTACACAGTAGCTCACATCAGGCTGGTCTGTGCCGTCCTCGTTCTCTGCGGACTCTCTCATCCTCAGGTTAGTTACAAACTGTGGACAGGTTAAAGTGTCACATAAATTGTTTTTCATTTTCGCACAAATTCCAAAGTTGTTTAGTTACCATACATATTTGTTTGGGGTTTTACATCTCTACAAAAAAAATCAGACAAAGCATAGTATTTCAAGCAATCCATAATCCCCCATCTCCGCACAGACTTTGACATAAAAATAACATAAGGCCATTACTCTGTACAAAGTTGGGCACAGGGCTCATTACAGTGTGTTATGTGGAAGTCTCATCCCAAGAGACACTTGCATAACAACTTGACAAAGGTAGGAAACAGAGTGTTTCAGATATGACCAAGTGATGCAAAGATGAACAGATGGACCAACAGATGGAGTGCAAACCTAGTCCCCTCTGGTAGTAATAATGAGAATGTCACCTCATGTAATCATATAGTGGGTAGGGACCAATCTATGATTTGGGGAAATCTCAAGGTCGTCTCAAAGCGGTTCACAAATTATTATCCGTGGTTATAGGGCCTTTGCAACCAGGCAGTATCTTTCTCAACTTCCTGGGAAGCATACAGCCGGTGCTGCCATTTTGGCACTCACAGCTAGCATTCAACAATTCTAGCACTGCCTAACCACATACTCATTTACAGCTAAGTAGACTGGAACAAGTGGAGAAACTTACCTAAGTGCTCAAAGATACAACACAGTGCTGTGCCTTGTACCCGCAACCCTTCGGTCACCAGTCTGGCGTCCTACCACTAAACTACTGTGCCTCCACATTTTGTGATATACAAGAAATTTATAGGTTTTACATTGGGCCTTTCACAGTTTCACTTTAAGAAATTAATATTTAATACAAAATTTGGTGTACATGGACTAATTCTTTTCTAACTGTATATGACTACACTTCAAGTATGTTAGAGACTTTGTTTTATAAAAGTTTTTAAAGTGAATAGAGCATGAAAATTTTCAAAAACAGAAAGAATATATACAAATTGGAGGAGTTTTAAAAGAAAATTAAAGAATGTGATGTTTGGAGATTGGGGAAATTTATCATAAAAAGACAACTTATCCATAAATGGGATAATATTTTGGCTTATTTTGTTCTAGTAGGATATGGAGAAGTTATCAAGTACCTAAGTTCTTTTCCTTAATCCTGTAAGAGATCAGTGAACATGAATTCTGACAGAAAATGGACCCAAAAACACTATTTTTTACTTTCATAAATACCTGGTGTGCAGCAATACCAAGACAGGATAGGATATTTTCTGGCATGTCCTTCAGATTAGCTGGTAAATCTGGTAACTTCTCCAGGATTACTGAAGGAAAACCAATATCATAGTTAACAGTGTATGTACACAAATCTACCAGTAATATATTCTTCAAAACAAAGCGGATGAGCTGAAACTATTTCTCTGCTACATTGTGACACCCTCTTTCATATACAGATTTTTGAATTATTCCCAAGTTATACGATAAAGTCGGATGACCTTCATCTCTCCAATCATCCAATGTAGTGAGAGTGAATAGATGTTCTAACACCGAGCATTCCAAGCTTGCTTTCTATACATATCTTTTGCAAAATCACCATAGCCAGAAGGATGTAGTCTTATATTGTAAGTGTATAGACCCATCCTTTTAAATGTAGGAGAGAGTGGCAGATTGCATTAACAGTTCATGTAGAATTATTTTTTTAGTCTTGTATCAATTATTTTACAGAGATGATTAACATGGGTTTACATGTGTATTTTACAGAGATGATTAACATGGGTTTACATGTGTATTTCATAGAGATGATTCACATGGGTTTACATGTGTATTTTACAGAGATGATTAACAGGGGTTTACATGTGTATTTTACAGAGATGATTAACAGGGGTTTACATGTGTATTTTACAGAGATGATTAACATGGGGTTACATGTGTATTTTACAGAGATGATTAACATGGGGTTACATGTGTATTTTACAGAGATGATTAACATGGATTTACATGTGTACTTTACAGAGATGATTAACATGGGTTTACATGTGTATTCTACAGAGATGATTAACATGGGTTTACATGTGTATTTCATAGAGATGATTAACATGGGTCTACATGTGTATTTCATAGAGATGATTAACATGGGTCTACATGTGTATTTCATAGAGATGATTAACATGGGTCTACATGTGTATTTCATAGAGATGATTAACATGGGTTTACATGTGTATTTTACATAGATGATTAACATGGGTTTACATGTGTATTTTACATAGATGATTAACATGGGTTTACATGTGTATTTTACATAGATGAGTAACATGGGTTTACATGTGTATTTTACAGAGATGATTAACATAGGTTTACATGTGTATTTTACAGAGATGATTAACATAGGTTTACATGTGTATTTTACAGAGATGATTAACTTGGGATTACATGTGTATTTTACAGAGATGATTAACATGGGTTTACATGTGTATTTCATAGAGATGTTATAAGCTGCATACTTTGATCATCCATCAGTTCTTTATATTCTACAGTAAAGCTTCCCTTTTCTTCAACATCATTCTGAAATCAAAATAAATGTGTAGAGCAATCAGTCACTGGACACTCTTTAATGGTCTCAAAACAGGATGTTATCTATTAGTTAAGTAGATTGTTTCCACACTTATAAATATCTGTACCAATGAACTGTTATTAACCTGTACTACAAACATTGACTTTTTCCTGCTTTTCCAAATTTGCTTGCCACAAATGAATCACAAAGTGGCGATTCAGGTTATTTGGTGTTCTTATCTTCAAATTGTCCACACTAATTGTGTTACATATGCATTGTCTGTTGTTAAATTTAACTTGTTTTCATTATTCTAGCCATTTCTGTTCAGCCTCAAATATTCCATTATACTGCATGTTCAGCATCAACTCCTTAAAATCTAATTGCAGAATTTGACATTTACTATTAAAACTTTATTGTAGAATTTGGAAGGAATTAATCCTTGTCAAATGTTTAGTCTAAAAAATGAAAAAAAATGAAATCACATGTTAATACAATATCGCTCAGGTCTTACCCATTTATAGGAGTTGGACCAACTGATGATGTATTTCTCAAACACCTGGATTCTGGTGACAGTCGGAGAATGGTCACAGTAAACTGCCAAATTAAACAACAAAATCTACTACTTCATCAGGTTTTCTGATTGATAAATAGACTGGTTCATGTACAGAAATGTAAACCTGCAGGTATCCAAAAATGTATACCTGATCCGTACCTGGTACCTAACTGTTTAAAACACAGCAAACTTTTGAGTCAAGTTAAAAATCTACCAGTTAAAATTCTTAATCATTGTTTACATTAATTTTTAACATATTAACATTAACAGAATTAGAATAAGATCTGTGTTGAGAAATAATATGGCTACAAATAACTTAGTACTGCATTTGAACCCAGAGCACATTTAAGTGTCTATGAAAATGTGTTTAAATAATTACTGGGGTTCAGGGTAAAAACATTATCTGGTACTGAAAGGGTTAAAGGAAAGATAACTCATACAGATGATGTCAATTTCGTAACTTCGATACTTAACCAGTTATTTGTTTTACTTCTGATCTATGTCTTGGATAGAAACTAAATATATGAATTCATTTGTTAACTAATTAGTACAGCATTTCTCTCCCGGATACTTTCTTGTCTATATATGACAGGTACTTAACATTTTTTTGTCTACACTCCTAGAGATCTATAAGCTATACAGTATGATTGATATGAAACCCCTGGGTACATCTGTAGTGTACAATTCCAATAGCCAGATGCTAGCTGTAGCTAATAGATTGCATGTCTGGACGTTTGTGATCATTTCCTGTGAAAGGATATATCATGTGTTTGGACTAGTAGATTTTTTACAAAATCTACCTGCAGTTTAGTACTGTAAATAAGTCCCCTCTACATATACACAGATGTTGGGCTACATTACTGTAAAGCTTGGTCCTGTGTACCTTCCTCTGGGAAGTACATCCTCCATCCTTTGTACGGTGATTGGACCTCTATTCTAGTCTGTACCATAGGGGGTGGACGGCGACCACCTTGGGGACCATCCATCAGAACTGGTCCAGCTCCCCCCTGATCTACAAATGGCGCAAATTGTTTCCACAAAACTTGTTATTCCTATCAATACATACAAACACTTGCAATGAAGGTTCCGGTGGAGTCCGAATGTTTCACTGCAAAATTTTACACCATTTAACTTTTATTTTTCTTGTGAAATTATTTGCATCTCATTAACAATTACTTTGAAGGCACTCATACATTCAAAAGAGACAAAATGTACATGCATTAATAATGATTTGATCAGAGTAATTTAAAATAGTAGACATCTCTGATAGAATGTACTAACACTTCATGTATTTACATTTGCATTCCATAGTACATGTATATGTAGGAATTATGAATCAATAAAACCAAAGGTCTGAGAGTTGATATGGCATGAATGTTTATTTTATGGTTAAGGATGAGTCTGAGCCTGTCACACATACAAATCATACACAAATAGGAACCCTCATACCTGTATTTGAGAGAGTAGACATCACATTGATCTATAGCTACTACCCCTTGCATGTGTAATTGTAAGATTTCATCAAATGTCAAATATCATAGCTTACTTGCACCCCTTCCTCCTCTGTTGCCATGATGACTGAAGTATCTACCACCACGCCCCCTCCATCTGCCCCGCCAATTTCCTCTGCCTCCCCCAGAACTTCTGCCTCTTCCCTGGCTACCTCGACCCTGGTTGCCATAGTTACTTCCCTGGCTTTGTTGGCCATAGTTGCTGTAGTTGCTGCCTTGACTACTCATGGTTACTAATAACTTGGTACTTCAGGAATCCTTCAGTCGCATCTTCATATCAGCTGTTCTGTGATGATCAATTAGTAATCATCAAACAAATTCAGAGTTCAGCCAATAAGATTTTGGTTGGCAGCCAGCATATATATAGCATCACTTTGCAGAACAAGGTCATAATATTACAGGTAGAATATCAGGAGGGTTTTGGAAAGGGACCCTGGGGTGGTGAAAAAAAATGACATAAGAACCATTTCCATAAAAAAAGGATGATGTTTATAACTCTGAATAACAGTAATATGTATGAACTATATATCCGACTGTTTAAATTTTATTAGGCTTTTTCTTATGACAACATGATCATTCTTTTCTTTCTAAATATATATACATTATGTATGCAGCATTTGAGAACTGTCATTTCATGGATTTTGTTTAGATTTCCATATTGGGAATTTTGAGCAGGAATATTAGGGAAAATCACACACTTTTAATTGGGGATGGATCCTAAAAAGTACCCCGACAACCATAAAACATTAGTCACTGGCGCTTGAATTTCCATATCCTCAATTACATACAGTTGGATCTCATGATCAGTGACTGAACTTGAAAGGGAGAAAAAGGCAGTTATCGGTATAAACACAATGTCTGACGGTCACAAGTTCCAGTGGTTTGAAATTTCAGGACAACATGCATGTAGGAATCTTGTTGACATAATCAACATGCTGCTGATCTGAATAACGGCTATCTACAGGAGTCAATTTTAACGATTTTTTTTTATCCCAAGACATCCATATGATCATAGGACTGTTATTTTAGCCTACCGAGTGTTGATCCTTACCCCTAACAAGTAGCGATGTATCATTGATTTTGTCCATTTCAGTCAGCAGAAGTCATTTTTCAGGTTTTTTCGCTATGCTCTATAGGCCTATATTCTAACATGTAAACAGTATATATGAATGTTTTTCTGACCAATATATATTAAACATAACACAAGCCAAATCAAAACTTACAAAGAAGGCTCACATTGATGTTCTTGGTTGCAGTATCTTCCGGCCCGTATCTTCTGTTTACATTTCCCGCTGAATCGTCAGTTCCGGTTCAGTTTGTACGGTGTCAGCAGAAATTGTACCCGAACAGAAGTTCCGCCTCGGTCTTAGACTTGATATAGTCCGAACGGAAACAAAAAAGCAATCGGCGTTCATTTATCAGATTTGCTTTTGTAAGTCCACTACATTTTTATTTACAAACCCATCTGCATTTTTACAGTCATCTTTCTTTGCACATAAACACCTATTGTCACTCCAATGTAATGCATGCCTTGTCCAAATACAGTAGATTTCGCTTAACTTTTATGTCAGAAGAAAACATTTAGAGGGGAAAAAAACCTATGAGTGTTTCAGGTAACATGCAAGAGAAAAAAATGTAAGGTCGATAAGCTCATATTTGTATTTTAGAATTAATCATTATTTTCATAGATCAATAATATGCTAATATCATTACACAATAGTGACAAGGCAAACGTGTTTCACGGATTCTATAATAATTAACTTTTCTTTTTCAATAAATTTTCCTTAATCTGTTTCTCGTTCCATTTTGATCATAATTGGCACACAGTCTGGAAAACTAACTAGTACTTTCATTGTGGAATTTTTGCATAACATGTAAAAATCCGTTTTTAGATCGTAATCAGTTAATTCGACAAAACATGCTCAGAAAAAAACAACCTATTTTTCAATCGGAACAGTGACAATTTGGAATGAACCGCCAGAACATGTCGTTTCAGCACTAAATGTTAACCTTTTATAATCAAGAACCTTTCTTCAATTACAAAGCAACAATCAAATCAGACATCTACACGATAAAAGTATTTGACAGATTTTTTTTATTTATTTGAGAGTCTGGTAGCACTTTAATAGTCCTGAACCAGAAACATTTTTTTTACGGCAAAACTTAATATTGTGTCATATGGGAATAACGTCAAAAGTAATTTAATGATATAATCGTCGGTATAAAAAAATAACAGAGCCAAGGAGGAATATATGAATGTTACTTACAGGAAAATATTTAATTTTCTCACAGGATGTTAACGTTTATCAAACTGTACACATATCTCAAGGAAGTCATGAAAATCACTGAAAAATATATCCTAGTAACGTACCACAATTAGAGGGGAATCACGTGATTGGCTTATGGCACATCACTGATGGTGAGTTTCTGATTCTAAGTCCTAACTTTCATAGCTTCACTTTTATTTTTTTTATGAGATATATATAAGTCTTTTCTAGTATTAAAATGACCCAAAATAACGTTTGCATATTCCAAAATAGAAGTATAAGTTTATCCTCCTTTCGTGTGGGTGTTTTTTTTGTGAAAGCATTCCTCAAGTATCAAATCTGAAACATGGTTTATATTTGTATTTCTTTAATGTGATAACTGCCATTTACCCTCTTTAGTCCTCAATATATACGAGAACTGCTTTAGGTATTTGGTGATCCCTTCTGTATTTGGCACTGTTTTCCATCTAGACTAGCCCATATTTGTATTGCAGCATCAATACCTTCGTTTGGTCTGTCATTTTGGACATACATTCTTAACCCGTATCTTCAAAATCCAAGGGTTCGGCTCTCGATATCACATGTGGCTCCTCTGCACCATTGATTTCATACATGAAAACTGGGCCTGTATTCATAAAACCGTTCTCATTCTCAGACTTGGATACCCGGACTTCTTGTTCGGCTGATACATTTATCAGAATTCTCTTTATTTTGTCTACGGCTGGAATGAATTTTGGATAGACTCGACACCGAGTACCGTTTTCAATGACCTTTTTATACTGTGTCACATGGTTTGAGCTAACAATTCATGCTTAAGCATGGGAACAGTTTCATGAATACAGGCCTTGACCAATCGCTAGGCTGGTCCCCCTTTTTTTGTAGAGCTACATCCAACTTAAAAGTCCGTCAATCCTTTGATCTTTATCAAAGACATCAGAATAGTCTACATGTATCTTTTGATTTTGTAGATATGTACAACTGTGTACCGAGTACAAGCCTAAGATTTCAAAGTTATCAGGGGGGAGTTATCAAGGGGGAGTTATCAGGGGGGAGTTATCAGGAGTTATCAGGGGGGGGGGTATCAGGGGGAGTTATCAGGGGCATTTCTAGGATATTTGAAAGAGGGGGCGTAGAACGAAATCTTTCGCCGAGCGGAGCGAGTCGTAAAAAAATTGGACCTTTTTTGCTAAAAAACATAAAATAATTGTGAAATGAACTAATGTAACGGTTCATAACTTGAAGCATGTATATTTTATAGTTGAAGTGTCAGGGTGTTTATGTGTTTAATTAATGAATATGATAAATTGCCATATTCAATACAATATTAGCAGATTACGATATATATATATATTTTTTGATTTTTTTTTAAAAGGGGGGGGGGGGCGTACGCCCATTACGCCCTCACCTGGACCCGCCCCTGGTTATATCATAACCAATTCTTAGGAGAATATCATTTCCATTTATTTGATAATCTGCTTCCACGGCTTTGGAGGGGGAGGGAAATTATTTGCAAACATAATAGTTTATGATTTATGTAAAAATAAAATCAAGTAGGGGACGTTCGTCGTATTACGGACAACGGGTACATGATAATTTATTAAAGCTATATTTTGACCTTAACTAAGGTGTCCAGAGTAATTTTAACCACAGGGACCTGGTAATTTTCATTTGGACATAAACTATGGTGTTGAGAATGGTTTTTAAAACGTTTGAAATTAATCGGAACACCTTAGTTTACGTCCAAATATAGCTGCTACAAATCCTCAGGTCCCTGTGTTAAAAACTATTGTCAAGAGAAGTTGAAAAAAAAAGTCAAAGAACTTTTTGATTGTGTGTGCAATACATACTAACAAACAGGACATTCCAAAGCTTTCATTAAACACACCAAGGCATGTAAACGTCTGTCATTTCTAACAGTAATGTTATCTATATATATTAAGCTATACAGAGAGGTCGTTATGCGGACGGACGTGCTGTCAATAAGGTATCCTATCTGATACAAACAACACAGTACCATGTGTTTGTATGGTTAGATAATTTTTCTATGGAAATATTTATCGATATACAAACAGGAAGCTATTCATAAAGTTTAATGCAATAATAAGAAAAAACGTTCGATCTTTCTCAGTACATAAATAATGAACAGAATCACAAACAACTTGACTCCACAAACAAAATAAACTATGATAGAAATAAAAAAGTAACACGTCTTTGTCCATGTGTATCTCACTTGCTCGTCTGTTGTTGTGCGACTTGTACCGGACTCGGCCTTAAACTTCAAACATACTTCATTGCCATAAATTGCAATGGGATTGGGCAAAAGTTTACAAAACTTGTCGAGTCCCTTCACCTGACCGGACTCTGTCCAAGGCAGATAGTTTAACATTCCTATTGGTCCAAGGAGTTGTGATGATGCAAGCAACCCCTATTAGCTTTGCCCGTGGTAAGGTTTTGCATTTGTGACAGCGTTTATGGTTCATTTTTTCTGTACATGTCTGTGAATACCACGCTTCCGGATTTTTAATATTTCTTTTATCACTTGAAACTTACTAAGAGTTGTGATGTCCCTTTTCATATTTTCTGTCCGTGGGTTTCGACGACGGATATTTTAAATGTATATGAGCACAATAAAATGGACAAAATAACACGTTTATTGCTGTTTCCTTCAATCATAAACTGTCCATATCGCCAACCATTTTTCTTCAGAGAGCGAAGGTCTGGCAACATGTAAGGTCGTATAAAGGACATATAGAGGAAGGTTTATATAACTGAATACATGTATGGGTTAAAACATTAATTGTACAGGACTTTCGTGTTATTTTAAGAATATTTATATTCCATATTGTCCCTACCCCGGTTCTCATTATGAGGACATTGCATATCTTTGATAAAGCATAAATTTATACTGTGGGTGTGGTCAAGCATCAAAGCAAAATACGCTTACCCTTCCGGAACGCCTGGTCTCATTCTTCTTTTACTTTTCTTTTGATCTTTACGTAATCATTCCAGTTTTTATTTGGACTTTTTCTCGTTGATTTTGAGTCATTAACATGCTATAGTTTGCCAGAGATATTCCTTACATAAACCAAGCCATGACTAGTGTTCATTGTAGTTGGTGTTTACTTGTCCATATATCATGTTCCCTGCTCAAAATTAACTCATGTACAGGTATTGAGGTTCAATAACAAAATTATAATCTTAAAACGTGCTATTATAAGTGCTTTGAAACTTTTCACATTAACTCGTTTGAAAGTCTTCTGCATAATAATAATTTTAAAGCTTTCACTGTTGTCATTTAGCATACAGCATTTTAATTTATCTTTGATATTCGTGTTTAGTGTAGATATCATATGACATGATATGTTTGTAGATTACTAGTACGTAATGGTGTATTGGATTAAAGGATTAAGACATTTTAAATCTGTAATGTTCAGCAATATTGTCCGGATCACCCAATAGCATATGTTTATATGCAGATGATTAACATGTTACATAGTACAAATGATTCCAACACTATCTTGTGTGGCAAATAACACCCTAAACCTTGAGAGCAATACATCACTTACACCTCATATTTAACAGTACCGATAGGCCTATCTGTTGAATTAAAAAAACTCTTATGGACAACTTGATAAAAATGCTTCAAAGCCAAGCGAAACATGTTTGTCTGAGAAAATAAATTGCGTCTCTCTCTAGCCTAACCCCTTTTTCTTGAAAACATTTTGACCAATGCCTTAACAATATTTGAAAATTCTTCGTAAGATTCCAGACACCTTGGAGAATGTTTTATGGTTCTAGCATAACAAGTACATCTGCACAAACACAATACAATGTATCCTGAATGCTGGTCAGAAAATATTGATTTCGGGGCATATAATATCTTCTTTCAATTTCTCCACTTTTCCATTCACAACTTATTTACAGGTCATTTGTGCTGCAGCAGATGGTCATTAAAATGAAAATATATAAAAGACAACAAGACAGCGATGTTCGAAATGATTTCCCATTTTAATGACATTTTAACCAGTACAATGGGTCTCAGCTGGCAGACTGATGCAATGGTAGTAAAGTTGTCAGAATTCATTGAATTTCATGCTATTCCGATACAAAATTACCTGTTTCTATACTGTATAAGATGGAACGTTCCTGTGTATTAACTCTGATGGTTACTACAGTGAATCAGCGAGTTAATATCTATACAACTTATATTTAATATACAATCGTTGAAAAGGCTGACCACCATAGTTTGTAACAAAGAAGATGTTTCACTTCCTAAACCACAAAAGAAAGTACCCATGAATGTTTCACATTATACAGTAACTAATGGTTTACAACACTGGCTAGAACGTTGTCCCACCTCCGTGCTCACGTCCTTGTCTGTCAGCAGTCATAAATATATAAAATATATCAAAAATAGAATTTCACCATTTCATCTGCCTTCTGAGAATAGTATGGCCTTTTGCTCCCAGGAATAAAAAGGAACAATGTGCCATGAAATGAGAAATTAATGTAAATGATGTTGCTCCGTTTTTAAATCCTGGTAGAAAGAGGCTATGCACTGAACTTGTTCTACTGTATCTACAAGTCGTAATAATTATAAACATATCGTACAATATACACACAAGGGGTTTTCTTTGAATTAAAGAAAAAAATTACATTTCAATGGTACAACCTCTTGTTTTAATGAAAATTGACATTTGAATTTATTTAAAAAGAAGAGAAAATGTAATCATTATATTTCCTATATAGTGTATATATATATATTTATATATCTTTTTTCATGTGATAATTGAATCAAATTCAATATTTAAGCCACATAGTTTTGTCATTTTGAAAATATAGTCACTCATTCATATACACATTTGTTTTGACATTCATTCATACACACAAACCAACAAGTAATGTCTGGTTTTACACAAATTATTCTCGGCACATTTTCTCTGAGCAGCTTTGATCTTCAAAGTTCAATGGTCATGTAGATTTAATTTCCATACATCCTCAAGACATTTTGACAAGAAAAAAATATATAATTGGGGGAAAAGAGAGAAAAAGTACTTAATCATAACTCTCTTGTAGTATGTTTTTGATATGCATGCAGAGATGAGAAAATGTTTTTGAAAATAAAAGCACAATCACACAGAGGGAAATTAAAACTCAAATGTATAAATTAAAACCACTTTCTTCAAAACACCTACAAAAAACAATGATAAAAAATCATTTGGTAAAATGTAAGAATGGGTTGTAATCTTTGATTAACATATACAATGGATTCACATACCAGTATCCTTCATCAAAGTCCATTATGTCTGGGGTAAACTTCCTACACATTTCCACAGTGGCCTAGTATAAGGAGAAATTATTGAGCAATTAATTTACAGTCCCCGCCCCCTTCCCCTGTTACCTGTAGCTTTTAAGAAGAAACCATATGACAGATGAATAAATCAATACGATAAATATATCTTGCAGTAAAGCCCTATTATCAACATAGTTTTGGCCCAGTTCTGCTTTTGTTCCTGTTCCAGACAACTTTTTTGTTCCCTTATAGAATTTTTACAATTTGTTTAGAATATATAGAGATATCATTCCTGTACTTGATTGATTCAGAACTGGGCCAAAAACTACAACACATCTTTGGATAACTCATTACAGAAACAAAACAACATAGATCTGTTACTACGTAAGTAAGTTTGGTAAATATCTGTTCAACCTTTTATTACTAAACTCTTTGGACATGAATTTTTAATTTACGAAGTAAAAACTATCTTCACAATGGTGTTATAAACAGACTTATACACCTGCTGACAATGAGAGAGATACACATTTTGTTAAACACCTGCTGACAATGAGAGAGATACACATTTTGTTAAACACCTGCTGACAATGAGAGAGATACACATTTTGTTAAACACCTGCTGACAATGAGAGAGATACACATTTTGTTAAACACCTGCTGACAATGAGAGAGATACACATTTTGTTAAACACCTGCTGACAATGAGAGAGATACACATTTTGTTAAACATCCGCTGACAATGAGAGAAATACACAATTTGTAGAATGAAAAACTATTTTTGTGTTTGTTTGGAAGCACTTTGTTTCTGTATACTAAAGGAAGGATAGGAATTCAGCAGACAAGACAGACATTTTGTATGGTACTGATGTCTGACAACCTTTCTACACTCCTTCTGGGATATGTATAAAAATCACCTCAATTTCAAGGATGTTTCTAATGATATTTATACAGGCAAATACTACTTTGTTCATTAACAGGTCAATTAATATGCTAGTTAATTCTACAACTTAATTAATGTGGAAAAAAATTGTGTGCGAATTTCCAAAAAATTAGGATTGCAGAAGACAATACATGTGTTATATTTTAACAAGATACTTGCCAAATTACTGTGGTAAAATAAGTTTTGTTCAAGGGAGTCAATAAATGTACATTAGTTATACCATGTGAAAGTTGTTTTGAATTTTTTACCCTATGATACACATCCCCATATTGCACAAACTCATGACATAAAGAACTTCACTAAAAGTAATCCGTTAACACCCAGTTTCGTTTCAACTATGTGTTAGACAAGGCTTCCAAAATCATGACGACAAACAACTTCACAAAATTGCTGGGTTTTTTTGTATGTAATAAGTTATCAAAAAAAAAATCTGTGTACATTAACAATGAACCATATCATGTTATAATGGTTTATGTCTATTTTTCAAACTAGTTTACCGTAACTAAATTCAGTAATTTACTGTTTTTATGTTCAAACCTTAACTAACATAGCTTCAGTACTTGGTTCACTACCACAAAATCAAATAATGACATTTTAAAAGATGGATTCCTGTTGACTCTCTGTACTTTTAATATATAACTTCTCGCATGTTTTTCTTAATGTAATGCATTACTACAGGTATATCACATATGGAAAATATTAACCCTTTTATTGCATTTTGAAATGCTTCAAAATCCCATCCTGATGGGCTGAAAGCTAACCAGCAGCACACAATGTCAAATTGTTTAGTTTCAAATCAAAGTTTCACTGGCTTTACCTTGTCTTGATGTGAAGTCAATAAATCTATCCACAGCCATATTCTTTATCTGTCTGTGTATCAAACAAGCCAAATAAAGAACGTGACAGGTTTTACTAGTTAATATGGTATAGGTCCTACCTAGAGGAGATGCTGGAAGAGATTCTACAATGTTAAGTTAAAATATAACATCAACCTCTAGACCAGAGACTAGTTACTAAGGCTAACTCCTTTAATTCTTTTTACATCTCTTATTACTATTTTTGTACTAGCTGTAGACTTTTTGGTTCATAGCTGTATTTATGGAATTCAAAACTTCCTAAAAAATAAGCATAGGGATTTTTCAAACAGTGAAACATTGTTGAAAAGTCATGGGAACCTATCTTTAATTTTCAATGGGTTTTTTTGTATGAAGAAACACAAATGTTTAACATCATTTGGTTCAATGTTGTTTGATCCTAACTACATAATCAAAAGAGCACTCTTAAAAGAGTAATAGCATTTAACTTTGAAGCCCAGCAAAATGTTAAGAGTTATTCCCCTTTGACTACAAAACATTTCTGTCATGGTTTCAATAAATTATTTATTAAACCATTGTTTCTTAATTCAATGAGCAGGAAGCTTTTACTTTGATTTAAACTCCATGTCAGAAAGCACATTTTGAAATGGTTAAGAAAAGGAAAGAAGGAAAATAAAACATATTTGATCAAGTCAGACTCTATTGCACTCTTACATATGGAAAGTACTTTTCAAATTTTAATTGTTTCATTTTTTTTATGAGAAGAAATTCAAAATAAATGCTTTGTACATTTTCTCGAGAAGAGAAGGATTAAAATATCCTTTGAATTTACAAGAAGAATAAAACTTTAAAAACATGGCATGTTCAAAAAGAAAATGACAACATAATATGATTCACACTAACTCTATGAACAAAATGTAAAAACCACATGAATAATTTGAACATACATAATAGCTACGTATGTGTGGATCATATGCACTTTTAATATAAAGGAAAAACTTTGGTTTATGTAAAAAAATATCTCATAACCATTCTTTGTATTAAAGATTTAATCAACTTCTTTGTATTAAAGATTTAATTATGATAAAATGTAAGTTAAAGAGGATATTCATTCACAAAAAAAGTCAGACTTTTTAAAAAGAGGTCTTTCTTTGACCCAAGAAAGCCCTTAATTTACTTGTCAAATAATTCTTACTGGTCAAGGTTTGCTCTCTTTTGAAGAAAGAACCAAACATTAATTAAGTCCACTAATCAATTGAGTTCAATGAAGGATACCTCTTGCAGCCTTTCACAATAATTTTCATCAGTAAAATCAACCTTTGATTGTTTATGTAACTGCCTTCAATTCAATCATACATTGAAAACGATTTCAACAAGTCTTTGGACATAGTCCTTATTGCAAAATCAGAATTCATCATCAAACATGTGTGATATGTTTGTAGTACCCCATAGTACCAACAGTATATACTCGCCCGGCAGCCTGTCTACTCCTACTAAGGTAGCTGTTCTGTGAGAGAAAGTATATTGGGAAGGGGCAGTTCTTACAAAATGAAATAATTAATTCACTATCGTTCCATTCCAATACACACACATATGAAACAAATTTTGTTCCGATGCAATAAAATAAAATGTAACACTAATGAGTTTTATGTCGATGAGTTATCACAATGCTTCAGATGAACAGATTGGCCTACAGCACAGGGAGGCCTCGCCTCACATGTTCATGTACTGCTGGCCCGGCCCGCCCGGCATCATCCCCCCCATGGGTGACATCTGGCGTGACCGACCTTGAGAATATAACTGTTGCTGAAACTGTTGATATTGTGCACTATAGGCAGGGTTACATGGCCCTGCCCTGGGGTCCATGCCCCCACTCATCCCGGGGCCCGGGCCAAGTCCGTGATGAGAGGGCATATTTGGATTTCCTGGGCCACCAGGCATTCTCATGCCACCTGGATTTGGTTGTCTCGACATAGCGGGTCCATAATTGCCCATTTCTGGCATTCGTGATCCTGGTCCTCCTGGCATCATGTCCCCAGCGCCAGGCCCCATGGCCATCATAGGTCCATGGCCCCGCTGGGACATATGTGAAGGTCCTTGCATCATACTATTGCTCATCATTGATTCACGACTGTCCATAAATGGAGGAGAATTAGGGTGTGGCATTCCAATAGAATGAGGCATTCCCTCCATGGGCATCATACCTTCACCACCCATGCCCATACCACCGGGCATCATTTGTGCCTCTGATGGCATATTCCCTGGTAACACATTACTATTTCCCATGGGTCCCATAGAATTGTTCATGGGGCCGCCCATGGGATCTGGACTTCCCATTCCACTCATAGGTCCCATTTGTCCACCACTCATGTTAGGAGGGAATTCCCCTCGGCTACCTCCCCTCATAGGCATCATACCCTGTGGCATTCCTCCTGGCCCCATGGGTCCCCCATGGTTACCAAATGGTGAATGTGAATGTCTTTCTCCAGAAATTGCTGGGGGTTGTGGAAAGTATTGCATTTTTGATGTGGGAACTTTACTATCCATATTGCTCATAGGAGCTGCGAACCGCTGCATGAACTCCAGATCTGGTCGTTTTTGTGATTGCATACTTTGCTGTGTAGATGGTGGATGAGCAGGAAGATACTGTATGGTATTAGGTGCTTTGGCTTGTATTTGTACATTAGCATTTCCCATAGAACATGGTGCATTGGTAAAGCTAGGCGAGGTTGGTCTTGCACCAGGATGCGATTGTTGCTGAGATTGCTGTTGTTGCTGCATCATTGGAGCTCCTGCATTGGGGCCCCCAGACCCAGCTCTGTGTGGGCGACCCCCGGATCCTCCGTGAAGTGGGGCCCCTGGGCCACTGATGGGTCCCACATGACCACTACTTGGGCCACCACTCATTTGAGACGAGGGTGGACCCCCAGGGAAGGGCTGTGGTGCCTTGCCCATGCCTGCGTGAGAGCTGTTCCCTGCCATCATTGACTGTGTTTGTGACATGGATATAGAAGCTGCCGATGCCATACCAGGGCCTTGTGGACCTCCAGGCATGCTACCACTAGGCATACTGCCAGGATTACCACTGGGCATGCCACCTGGATTACCACTTGGCATACCACCAGGGTTACCACTGGGCATACCACCTGGGTTTCCACTGGGCATACCAATGGGATTACCACTTGGCATACCACCAGGGTTACCACTGGGCATGCCACCAGGGTTTCCACTTGGCATACCAATGGGATTACCACTGGGCATGCCACCAGGGTTACCACTGGGCATACCACCTGGGTTTCCACTGGGCATACCAACAGGATTACCACTTGGCATGCCACCAGGGTTACCACTGGGCATGCCACCAGGGTTTCCACTTGGCATACTATTAGGCATACCAGTTGAATTTGGGCCTGGTCCGTTGGGCGGACCAGGCATACCCTGCATTTGTTGTTGCTGTTCCATGTTCATTTGCTGCACTTGCATGTTAGGGTTGTAGTTGCCACCAGTATGGGGTCCCACACTCTGAATGTTTAACTGTTGTATGGACATTGTGGCGTTCACATACGTGTTGTTGACACTTGGTGTGGTCTGTGTCTGGGAGTTCATCTCTGTGGAGGTGGACACAGATGGCTGATTACCTGTCGCCTGTGATGATGCACTACATCCCACCTGCTGACCCTGCATCTGAATACTGTGAAATGGTCCTCCTTGCATCATGTTTTGCTGCATTTGGTTTGACAAATGTTCTACTCCTTTGGCCAGATTGGCCAGACTAGCAGACGTGATGTTGGACATGGATGATGCCTTGGATGTTGGTGTCGCTGGGGCACTCGACACACTGTTGTTATTCGATGGTGGATCAAAATGTGAAAGTCTCATATTGGCACCGGATACTGGGCTGGGTCCAGGACCATTGACAGGCCCCGGACTGGATAATGGGCCCCCACTGGAGTTCTGGCTGGAATTTGACATGGGCCCCTTGTTGGAGCTTGGACCATGCATGGGTGAATGAGCGACCTGATTTGAGGGAAATGGGGCATTAGGATGGGACTGGTCTGAGGGATTATTAGGTTCACGATATGCTGCATTGAGATGTTTGGTTATAGTCAATTCTTGTCCTTCAAACTGATTGAGGTAATTAATTTGCTGAGGAGAAGGTGTTGGTTGAAGATTTTTATACAATTCCTCCATGTCGTCACGCTTCCTTTTCTGAGCCTGTGCATAGCTAGGGGGTGGCTTATTTGAGCCACTTAAAGTTCGTGAAGGAGAACGAGCCGCCATTTCTGGATGAAACTGTTCAGGGTTGCCAGCCCTTTGCACAAATTGTTCAGGGTTTCCAGCACGTTGCATGAATTGTTCTGGATGTCCAGCACGTTGCACAAAATGTTCAGGGTTTCCAGGACGTTGCATGAACTGTTCAGGATGGCCTGCCCTTGGTACACCTGACATGTTTTTCTTGTTTTGTATTGGTCCTCCTCCTGGCTGACCTGGGTGCATGTGAGGTGGTGGCCCACCACCCCCTTCCACACCTGCTAGCCCCCCAGGGCCCCCAGGTCCCCCAGGTCCCCCAGGTCCACCGGGCCCATGCTGCATCATGGCCTTATCAAAGTTCATACCAGGCCCTGGGGGCATGCCTGGGCTCATTATAGGGCTCATTATAGGGCTCATCATACCCATCTGTGATTGTTGTTCCATTGAGGAGAGGGATGACCTTCGTTGAGCAGCAGATGGTGGGAACAGACCCATGTGGTCTGGCATGTCCATACCATGAGGGGGCATGAGGGGTGGAGATCCTATAGGGCCGTTTGTATTAGGTGAGGTAGACATTCCACCACTTCCTCCTCTCTTTTGAGCCATAGTGCTGTAGTAGGAGGGTGGTGCGCCTGGGCTGGCCCCTGGCATCTCCATGTTGGGAGGCTGACCTCCCATTCTTTGAGCAATTTGTTGCTGTTGTTGCCGTCGTTTATCCATGTAATACTCCTGTTGCAGTCTCAACCATTCACGCTGAGCCGGTGTCATGTTCTGCATGTTATGTGGACCATAGCCAGGATGCCCTTGAGGTCCAGGCCCCCCAGGACCTGAGCCTGGACCTGGTCCCCCAGGGCCAGACCCTGGACCAGGGCCCTGACCCCCAAACTGGCCTGGCCCTCCCTGGGACATCATAAACTGTTGTTGTGAGCTGGTCATTCCACCATTGTTCTGTGGTCCCATCATCATTTGTTCCTGAGATGTCATCATGGGACCATGGGGCGAGGACATCATACCCTGCTGTTGTTGCATCATTTGTTGATGCATTTCTTCCGGCATCATTTCACCTCCAGGACCTGAATTTGGCATGGGTCCCCCAAACTGTTGCTGTCTTTGCTGTTCTGGGAATAACATCATCTGTATTTTCCTTAAACTTGTTAAATGTTCCTCTCTCCGTTTTAATTGTTCAGGAGTTAAGTTCTCATTTGGTACCTTCTGCTGCAACAGATTAGGATTATGAAGGTGAGGATTTCCCATCATAGCCATCATTTCTGGGTCAAAGGGCATGCCATCAGGCATGGTATAATTCATTGGAGATGAAGACTGCGGAGGGCCACCACCCTGTGGCCATGGCCCCATCATTCCAGGATTTCCAGAAGGAGGAAAGTTGCCTGCCCTTGGATTCATTCCTGGGACAAAGTTATAGCCTTGTTCCTGTAGGTGGGCATTCTGTTGGTCCACCCACTGCTGGACACTACCGGTCGGGTGGGGTTGGCCAGGTCGCATCATGCCGCCATACGGCCTCATGGTAGCCATAACTCGATGTCGGGGACCCATCTGTGGCATCATGCCAGACCGGGAGAAGGGAGATATTTTCAATGAATGCTTCTGAAAGTAGAAGTTAATCACAAGATTACAAATCTGCACCATGCAAATACAATCACCAATTAATTTCTAGGCTTTCTTGACGTAGTTTTTAGTAGAAATCAACCAAATTCAAATTTCAATTTAAATACAGAAACATTTCCAATATAAGCCTCTGTTTAGCACAATTGGTCAGATGTGTTACAATTCAGATATCATGCAAGTTTTGGGCTTGTGACAGCCATAGACATTTTTACACTAACACCTTTACCTTTTTGATATAAATTTTCATTGTATTCTACACTATCTAGAGAATATTCCAGTTACATATTACCATTCAAAAAAGATTTTTCTTTTCTTTTTTTGCATTGTATCATGTCCAATAAATATATTTGGATTCCCAATATTGAGAATGTGAACGAAATACAATGCTTTTAGCCTAGAAAAAACACCAGCAAATACAGTAGAAAATGTACCTGTAAAAACTTTTTGGTGGCAGGGTAGTCCATATGGAAGGACAGCAGGTCCTTGAATTGTCCTGACATGACATGTTCTGCCCCCTCATTGGCTAGTTGTGTGGAGAACACAAAGATTTGGCTCTGGTGCTGCATGAAAGGGTTTTCGCCACTGGCCCCCATCTGCTGGGCTGGATGCTGGGACTGTGGGGGCATTGGGGCCACATTGGAGTTCACAGGCTGAGAGGCTGGGGGATGCTGCTGGGGCATCTGGGGGTTTGTTGGGGGTTGAGAGGTTGCAGGTGGGACTGACTGCTGAGGCTGGCCCTTGGTGGGTGGGAGTGGCTTCGAATGACTGTCACTTGGAGCAGCTTCACCATTAGTCTCCTCTTTCACCACTGAAATAACAAGTAAGGCTCATGATAGTATGGACAGTTGATTTATAACCTTAATTTTGTAATCAGTTGACCTAAACTAATTGACTACAAATCATATGATCCATTCAATTACTTCAGTAATTTCAAAAACAATTTTCTTTCAATTAAATCTATCTGCTGTATTTGTACCTGATTTCACAGAATTATAAGTCACAAGATTTCTTTAATGAATGAGAGTGGAGAACGGAGACAGGTTTTGTGAAGACAGGATAAGTGAAGAGTGGATTAGAATAGAGGAGACTAGTGAGTCAGGATTAGAGGAATGTGGATTAGTGGAAACAGGATTAGTGGAATGTGGATTAGTGGAAACAGGATTATTGGAGAGTAGATAACAAAAACAAAATAAGTGGAAAGTAGATTAACATAGACAGGATTAGAGGAATGTGGATTAGTGGAAATAGGATTATTGGAGAATAGATAACATAGACAGGATTAGTGGAATGTGGATTAGTGGAAACAGGATTATTGGTGAGTAGATAATCAAAAACAAAATAAGTGGAAAGTAGATTAACATAGATAGGATTAGAGGAATGTGGATTAGTGGAAACAGGATTATTGGAGAGTAGATAACAGAGACAGAATAAATGGAAAGTAGATTAACATAGACAGGATTAGTGGAATGTGGATTAATGGAAACAGGATTATTGGAGAGTAGATAACATAGAGAGGATTAGTGGAGTGTGGATTAGTGAAAACAGGATTATTGGAGAATAGATAACATAGACAGGATTAGTGGAATGTGGATTAGTGAAAACATTCCTGATTATTGTCGAGTGATTTATACAGACAGGAATAATGGAAAGTAGATTAATAGAGACAGGATTAGTAGGGGATTAGTGGTGACAGAACTAATGGAGGATAAATGGTGACAGGATAAGTGAAGACAGGATTAGTGGAGAGAGAATTATTGCAGTATTATTGGAGATAGGATTAGTGCAGGATTATTGGAGATAGGATTAGTGGAGATAGGATAAGTGGATATATGATTAGAGCAGATAGGATTATTGGAGATAGGATTAGTGGAGGTAGGATAAGTGGATATATGATTGGAGCAGATAGGATTATTGGAGATAGGATAAGTGCAGGATTAGTGGAGATAGGATTAGTGGAGATAGGTTAAGTGGAGACAGAATTTGTGGAGACAGAATTTGTGGAGACAAGATTAGTGGAGGTATGATTATTGAAGAGAGAATTAGTGGAGATAGGATTATTGGAGATAGGATGAGTGGATATAGGATTATTGGAGATAGGATTATTGGAGAGAGAATTAGCGGACATAGGATTATTGGAGACAGGATTAGTGGATATAGAAAGATTGGAGATAGGATTATTGGAGGGAAAATTAGTGGAGACAGGATTAGTACATGTGAAGATAAGATTAGTGGAAATAGGATTAGTATGAAGATTAGTGGAGAGTGGATTAATAATATTCCATAGGATTAAGAAGCCTTATCAGACTCACAATGCAAAAGTATTACAAAAAAATATTTTTTTCAATATCAAAAATTATTACAAATTCCTGAAAAAAAATATGGAAATAGGTATCCTTGGAAATCAAGAGGACGTGCTCTGTTGAAATCATGAATCATCAAAAATGATGGTCATAATATAGATATCCAAACCCAATAAGAGTTGTGCTAGATTTCCCCAGTGGTTCTAGGTTCCAGCATTACATCACTGTAATATTCCTATACTAACAGCTCTCTGAAGGCAGACAGCTTCCGTCACATGTATACCCAATCAGATTATCCAGGGTACTCCGGAACTTCTCCTCCTCTACCTCAAGGATACCCATGGGTTTGTTCTGCCAATCAACCACACATACAATGCATATCCTTGACTGTACCTGATCATGTTATATGTGTTTAAAACTTATATATTACCACACAGCTTTCATCTGCACATGTTTAAAATCAGTATGGTGAGCCAGAATCCATAATGGTATACGTAACTGATTAATTCTACACTGTTACTGTGAATTAATAACGTGGTAATTAGATACAGAGGTTTTACACACGTCTATACTAGCTATGACATCCAGCCATAAACTATATATAGCGCTATGCAGAGGACAATGTATACAATAAATGGTAGTTCTATCGTTCTAAATAATATATTGCACACTATGAATATTGACATTTTGTGTGCATTTGCTAAATTTAAAAAACTTTGCTTGTCTTTAGATTAAGCTGGCATAATTGATTAGAATTAAAATGTTCATATCTAATGTATTTGTATTTTTTTGTAGGAAAAAATATAACAAAATTGTTTCTTACAAACATGTGCATATTGAGACACCTGAATTGATGGGCCTGATAGCTAAGCTAAGTGTAGTTCAGTGAACCGCGACAGAAGACAAGGTAATAACATTTGCATAATGAATTATATTTCCCGGCTAGTAAAATTGCCTAACTGTACATTAGCAAGTGACAGAAATCACCAGTATGTTATACAACCCTGTTTGATATAGACAAAGTATAACAGCCTAATGCTTCCTTTTTACCGTCCAGTGCCCCTCAATAAGGTTAGCTCTTTATACATGTCAGAATTACTATTATACATTGACCATCATTTGATGCTGAAAATATTAAAAGAAATTCTCGGATTACCATGAAATAGAGATGAATCTTGAAGCCTTGGTTTCAAAACAAATATGTTTTTAAGTTTATCAGTTATGAATTATTATACTAATATACATATTTAAAACTAAAAATAAATTCCTTCAAACTTAATGTATCTTCTAGGTTGTTTGAGAGATCGTAGCATGTGGCAAATATTCCAGATTTATGAGTTCCACTTCATCTATAATTTTGAGGGGAGGTCTGATTGTGTGTGCTAAAATATATCTGCATAAAATTCGAATTGTTAATAACTAAATTTGAGCTCCTCTGTCCTAAACGGTGGGGTTTATGTGCTTGTTAAATCATCGTCATACCCTAATTTACATCTCAACAGAGAACTCAACAGAAAAGATATTAACAGCTTTAATCTGACCTAGACATGTATCCTTCAGCTGTAAAACTGAAGTAAGGTCAATACAGGCAGTTAAACACAGTGGATACTGGGATTTAATTAGACAGATGTGCAGACAGATGAATAACCCCGCAAATGAATGGACAGACAAACATCAGTGACGAAAACCTTGAAGAATCCACCAATGATGTCTTTTCATCTAAAAGTATTAACATAGTGGATCTGTAAAATGTGCTTTTCAGTATTTGATAAAGACAGGCCAGACTCTGTTTACCAGAAGTCAGGACAAAATCAATGTCATATCCCACCCCATCAGCACCATAGTAAATTGTACATGGAGAAAAATTGGTACAATTTGACTTGAGGAGCTGCAGTGGGGAGACGTCCTGATATTACACCCCCACAGATCAGGGACAACACTGACCTTGGAACTGACTTTGGAATGGTCCTAACCCTACAGGGAGATAAACCTTCAAGTGAAATGCAAAAAAATTCTCTTGATAAGTCTAACTCGATAAGTCTAATAATTTTCTAGGTCTTTGATGAACAGTGAGCTAGCTTTGCTGTTTACATATATTCAATCTCAAACTATTGCCACAAATCTTGTGACGACAGTGTACTGCTATGGTTACCAGGGCAGGTGTAGAGACAGACTCTGGTAACAGCTTCTGATGTACGTGGGCAAGTAACTACAATTCTACATATAAAGCATCGTATTGCATTTTTTTTCCCCAACATATATCAAACATGTCTATCTACTTTAACACAGATGAAATTGTCATCTTTCTAGTTTGTCTTTTTTAGGAAAGCTATTTTTTTTACTTTTTTCCCCCATTAAAATAACAATTTAAGGAAAACTAAAATGTTCACTTTTCTCATTAAAAATAACAACTAACAAAGTTTTTGGTCTGCAATTTTTCTATTACGATCTTGACCAATCCAACCAAGCACCATGACTGCTATTTAATTGGTCACATTAATACCTGAAAGTCATGAGGATCTAATACAGAATCTTAAAAATGTTTCTTCCATACTGATATCTTTTTAGGCCTGACAAAAAACATGTTTGTTTCCGGCACATGTCTGAAAAAATTAGGGTAGGTAGGTATGTAGCTTATGAATTGATTTTGTTTTTATGGACTTCAACAGTGCTTCCTATTTGGCTGTGGGGTGTTCCATTTCAAATGCAAAACCCACTTTTAGTAATATTTTAGAGGGAAACATGACGATGGTCATCACACCACAAAACATGCTCATTTTACTTTGGACAATCAGCTATAACACAAGATTGAAGAGAAATGTTATTTAATATACTGTACCTGATATATCCGGGTTCTTTTTCGTGTGGGTATCTTGTAGCTGGTTATTGTTATCTGAAAAATAAGAAAACAATACCATCTTAGTGTGTGTATTGTGAAAACAGGATGGGAAAAATATAGCATTATTTATATTGAAATTGGGAATATGTTCCTCAGGTTTTGTTTATTTTGGGAAAATAAGGCACTTTTTAGCAAGGGGAAACAGCCTGTATTCGGCAGTAAAACTGAGCAAAAAAAGTCGCTGAATACCACTCCCACACTTGTCATAAAAAACATAAGTAATGAAATTTATTGAAGATTCTATTATATAACAAATAATTTCTATAACACAGAAATAACACACATTAACCAAGATTTTTTTCCATTCTTGACCATATAAGCGAACTAGAAAATGTCTGTAAGACATGAATGCCCTTGTCACCATGTGAAATTAGTTTCAGTGTTTGATGTTTGACTGGACAGGACGGACATGGGCAACAGTATATGCCCCCCCCCCCCCCATTTTATGGTGGGGGCATGAAAAAATAAAATAAAATTTATAATATAACATTCTCAACTTCAACATGAATATATATAAGATTGTATATCCGAGGACACTAACCTGAGAGTACCATATTGATCTGATACCCACACATGAAGGAGAAATCCATAATGGTTTGTAATGAGATTATGGAAAATGTGTCGCATACATATAGTGATGTCATTCTTCTACACAAATCAATACAAATACCCTTCACCAATACCAATACCTCATTGCAACTCAATACCAATACCTCTCTACAACTCAATACCAATACCCCTCTACAACTCCATACCAATACCTCTCTACAACTCCATACCAATACCTCTCTACAACTTAATACCAATACCTCTCTACAACTCAATACCAATACCTCTCTACAAGTCAATACCATCAACCCCCTTAAACTCAATACCAATACCTCTCTAAAAGTCAATACCAATACCCCTCTACAAGTCAATACCATCAACCCCCTTAAACTCAATTCAATTACCCCTCTACAACTCAATACCAATACCCCTCTACAAGTCAATACCAATACCCCTCTACAAGTTAATTCCAATACCTCTCTACAACTCAATACCAATACCCCTCTACAACTCAATTCCAATACCTCTCTACAACTAAATACCAATACCCCTCTACAAGTCAATACCAACAACCCTCTACAAGTAATACCAATACCCCTCTACAAGTCAATACCAATACCCCTCTACAAGTAATACCAATACCCCCTACAAGTCAATACCAATACCCCTCTACAAGTCAATACCAATACCCCTCTACAAGTCAATACCAACAACCCTCTTAAACTTAATACCAACAGCCACATCAATAGCTAAACCCCTTTACAACTAGGTACCAATTGAATATCTAACCCAAAGCTTTATACTTTAAATACAAACTACTATCATGATAACCTGTTTCAAATTGTAATTGTATCAAATTTGTATTTTGATCTTTGATTGTTGATTATCAATAAAACAAAAAAGTATCCATAGCGTTTGTTTCTATTCAGCAACAAACAACTCACACTATGCTAACCTGACTTTTGGAAGTGGAATGGGACGGCTGGAGTCTGAACTCTTACTCGGTATTAACAAGTAAATAATTCATATCAATTCAGTCATCTCCTAATTACGTGTATGATCAGCTGTGTAATAGGAACGCAGAGGAGAGAGATCAGGCCTCCTTACACACAGTTTGGGACGACACAGCATTATTATCACACTCACGCATTACCAGTTAAAATAATTGATTTCCAAGGATTGTAACACATGAAAAGTAGCAATTAAGATATGCTAATTAAGATTTATATCTCAGAACAGTTACATCATATTATCTTTCTTTAAAAAACCTTTCATGCACATAAATTCAAGTGATTTGAAATTGAAATGACAAACACATTTGACAGGGAGTAATAAGTCAATCCATATCAATTTCTGTTCTATTTCATGAGTTATACTAATAAAATGCCTAATCAGCGACGCTACTTTATATTCAAGTAATATATGCATCTTTGGAGCAGTTATGCTAATTTATCTTTGAGTATTTTATTAAATGATTAAATGATAATATATAGGTATTTATGTTATGTTTATTAAAACAAGTTCACCATTTTATAATTTATAGAATTACATACAATTTTACAATGAAAAAATCCAATGACAAACACTTCTATCAGGGGCGTTTCTAGGATATTTGAAAGAGGGCGTATAATCAAATCTTTTGCCGAGCGGAGCGAGGCGAAAAAAACAATTTGGAACTTTTTTTTGCTAAAAAACATAAAAAGAAATCAGAGTATGTGTTTAATTTATGAATATGATAAATTGCCATATTCAGTACAATATTAGCAGATTACGATATTTCATTATTATTTTTTTTGAAAAGGGGGGGCGTGCGCCCATTACGCCCTCACCTGGACCCGCCCCTGTCTATATAACAATACCTATGTCAGTTCTTAGTAAGAAGTCCTTCAAAGAAATAGTTGACAGATGACAGACAAATACAATGTAACATGAAAACCCCCAAATATAATGTTACATGAAAACAATGTAAAGCAAACAAAATGTAATAAAGCCAACATGAAGTAAAGCACCTGCTGGTACTAGTGTTTAATTGTCAAACATTTAGAGTCAATTAATGCTGTTATGATATTACCTGTTTCACCATTGGTTAATTTGTTGCTAGGGGGCCCCGAGTGGTTGTTAGGGTGATTATCGTTTATAGACGGCGGTTGTGGCTCCTCCTTTACCTCCTCCTTCATGTCCATGTTTTCTGACTTCACGTTGGTTCCGTTCAAGTCCGAGTTCATTTTTTCAGTTTCCGTTATCATCTCGTACATGCTAAGTGCTGCCGGGAAGGGTTTCCGAGGGTCAGCACCCCCTCCCCTTTGGAGGTCAGGGGTAAACAGTTACTGTAGCTAGGTAGATGGGTTCAAGATATGCTGCAAAATATAACAAATATAACATAATTTGTTGAGAAAATAATGGCTGGTTGCAAAGGCCCTATAACCACGGATCATAATTTGTGAACCGCTCTGAGACAACCTAGGAACTAGGTTGTGATGAAGCGATATGTAAGAGCCTCAAATAATTATTATTATTATTTACTGAAACATTCACAAAGAGGTTTTTCACAGTGGGACTTTTAACTGTACTCACTGTCATACTGTCAACCTGGCTTTCACAGCAGTCATATAGAAATGTTAGTAGTCTGAGTAAAGTTAGGCACTTGAAATTACATACCATACAAAATGTGTGAAATGTCAGTTACTGCAGTAAAGCTTAATTGTCACATTAATGGAAAACGTAACCATGACAACTGCTTTAGCTATATTGTCAAATGCATAAAGACATCACTTTCCTGACAACCATTTTACAGTACTTCAAGATTGCACACATTCATAAGTATGAGGTAGATGGAGGTTATCATACAGCCATTTTATATTGTCTCCAATATAAAGCTGAGACCCCAACACCAGCTGAGTATATCTGTGATGTTTTCTATAATTGAATATCAGTATTTTCCCCTATTTTTTGGCAACTGTATATATTCCTTTAATTTTTTGTATCTGTTTCCCCTGGTTTTTGTATCTTTATTTTTCTGTCTTTGAACCTGCTTTTCTCTGAAGAAACGTCCACAACAATACTGCATTTAATTTAGTCCATCACAATAGCAACATCACCAGGAAACAGCCCATAGCAACATCACCAGGAAACAGTTCATAGCAACATCACCAGGAAACAGCCCATAGCAACATCACCAGGAAACAGCCCATAGAAAGATCACCAGGAAACAGCCGATAGCAACATCACCAGGAAACACCCCATAGCAACATCACCAGAAAACAGCCCATAGCAAACATCCCCAGGAAACAGCCCATAGCAACAGCACCAGGAAACAGCCCATAGCAAACATCACCAGGAAACAGCCCATAGAAACATCACCAGGAAACAGCCAATAGCAACATCACCAGGAAACAGCCCATAGCAACATCACCAGGAAATAGCCCATAACAACATCACCAGGAAACAGCCCATAGCAACAACACCGGGAATTGGTATATTTATAGCAACGCAACCAGGAAATATTAAGTATTAAGTATAGAATGACCTTCAGAGATTTTTCTATAGCCACACCTCCAGAGAATATTCTAAAGCAGTAACACCAGCAAATGTTTCAAGAGGAGCATTAAAACAAGAAAACACAAATGGGGAAATCATTTTGTGTCAAAAAGATTTTATCAATATTTTCCGTATTATATAATAAAACGACACGCAATGGCTAGAGACCGATGATGTTTGTTTTGGTAGAGATCTAGAATGCTTGGTTCCATTAGATGTAAAACAAGTGAATACTTTGAGAGATTTGTTTCAGGGTATAACACTCAGTAACAGGCCCTGTATGATCAGCCAGCAGGGGCCAGTGTAGGATTCCAAGGAGACCCTGCATGGTCAGCCAGTGAAGGCCAGTGTAGTATTCTTAGCAGGCCCTACATGGTCAACCAGTGAAGGCCGGTGTAGGATTCTTAGCAGGCCATGCATGGTCAGCCAATGAAGGCCAGTGTAGGATTCTTAGCAAGCCATGCATGGTCAGCCAGTGTAGGATTCTTAGCAGGCCCTACATGGTCAACCAGTGAAGGCCAGTGTAGGTTTCTAAGCAGGCCCTACATGGTCAGCCAATGAAGGCCAGTGTAGGATTCTTAGCAGTCCCTACATGGTCAACCAGTGAGGGCCAGTGTAGGTTTGTAAGCAGGCCCTACATGGTAATCCAAGGAAGGCCAGTGTAGGTTTCTAACCAGGCCCTACATGGTCAACCAGTGAGGGCCAGTGTAGGATTTTTAGCAGGCTATGCATGGTCAGCCAAGGAAGGCCAGTTTAGGATCCTAAGCAGGCCCTACAGGGTCAGCCAGTGAAGGCTAGTGTAGGTTTCTAACCAGGCCCTACATGGTCAGCCAGTGAAGGCCAGTGTAGGTTTCTAAGCAGACCATGCATGGTCAGCCAATGAAGGCCAGTTTAGGATTCTAAGCAGGCCCTACATGGTCAGCCAGTGAAGGCCAGTGTAGGTTTCTAAGCAAGCCATGCATGGTCAGCCAATGAAGGCCAGTGTAGGATTCCAAGCAGGCCCTGCATGGTCAGCCAATGTAGGATTCCAAGTAGGCCCTGCATGGTCAGCCAATGATGGCCAGTGTAGGATTCTAGCAGCCTCCATCAACTATTGATTTACCTGACAAACTCTCACAAGACTTTTATGTAAGACATTATAACACAGATTTTTTTCACCCAAGCTGCCGATATAATGACATTGAAGTGTATACATATGCCATCAGTAACCTTATCGACAGAACAGAAAATTTGGTTGGGGTCTTCAATGGATTTGTATCAATAAATAGGAAATTCTATATTCAACCAACATCAGGAAAAATATGCAGTGTGTTAAAACCCTTATCCCGCCAAGTGCAGCATATGTCGTTTTTATAAACCCGTTTCCCACTGCAAAGCGCGGCATATGTCGTTCCGCAAAACATGCCTTCCACAGCTGATCGCGGCATTTGTCAATTCTAGGATTGCCCGTTTAAGTACGGAACTGTGGTGAGAAAATCACTGCTAGCTTTACTTAGAAATGATGACTCATTAGTTTATACCTTAATTTCATTGGCTGACTACGTGATACCCAGTTTATTTATAAACTAAGCCACCGTGACTTTGAGAGCATAGATTCAAGGTTTTGTTGACAGCGCGAAAAAATGGCGGACGACAAACTGACAAAAGACGAACGACTGCAGATTATCAGCGATATAACAACAGCGACAATGACTTTTAGGGATTCGGACCAGAAGATTTACTTCGTGACGCAGAATTCGTACAAGAAATTGACTTTGATCAATCATATAAAGACGTGGACATTCCTGAAGACGACGACAACACAGCGTACCTCCATTAAATGCCCCATTCACGGGACAGCCCGGTTTGAACAAAGATATTCCAGGTGACGGCGACCCTACTCATTTTTCTCTCTCTTCTTTTTGACAACAATATGTGGACGACTCTTACGACAGAATACTAAGTACTTTTGATTATGAAACTTGGAATTGTTTTTCAGGTGATGGTAATAAATAAACTATTTATAAGACGTAAATCATCTTTATTACATACAAAATACATACAAAACTCGCCTTTTCTAACCTGTAGTTTTGGAAAGGTAAGCGAGATATCCAAAATTACTGTTGATACGAAAAGAAGAAGTCTTCCTGAACAAAACACTTAATAAATATTTTCTTGGATTCGATAAAGATAAAAAGTTATTGTTGGTTTAATCAGCTAATTAATTTTGATTAATATAGCTTTTGTTTATCTGGCAGGGGGAGGTATACCACAAATTGTATACACAGCAGTGGTGTGTACATATACACATGAGTGAATGGCAGGATAAGGGTTAAGAATTTTATATCAGAATGGAAATTCTCAAAAATTATCTTAAAATTATAATTTTTAATCAGGACACTTTGTGTTCAGAAACATATCACAAATTCACCATGCATCCATATTATACTCAATGCAAGTTGTCAAGAAGAAACAGGGTTATCTGTAGACAGTTACAAGTAAGGTAAAATAACCTTCATAAAGGAAGGTGAAGATAGTAGTAGGACAAAATGTCCTTTGATTAAGGGTGAAGATACTAGTGAGGTAAATTATCTTTCACAAGCAAGGTTAAGTTTCCTAGTTATAGGCAAATGCAAGAGGGCCTTTAACACTTTCACCACTGTAGACTATGATGGACTCATCCAGAGTTACATAGGGGTGAAAAGGTTGAAAAAATGACCATCAGCATACAAGATGAAGTTCAAGCTGTACCCACAACATCAGGATGACCAGTTCCTGAGTGGGAAGAATCAAATTGATTCAATATATTTTAATCTTTTCACCACCGTAGATCATAATAAACTCATCCACATCAATGCACAGTAAAGTCTACTAAAGTTACATAAGGGTGAAAGGGTTAAATGTCTGACTAAATGACAAAAATAGAAAAATGAAGGACAAACTATGCATTGATGTTTTCCATTTGACAAAGTGGGAGGTAACACAATGACTACAACAAACACTGTAAGTGTTTCACTGAGGCTGATTGATCATCCAAATGAATATTGAATAGATTTATAAAACGCTAGCTAATATTAACTGAATTTCTCGTCCTATTATACTGCAATATTTTTGTGGATGAAATATGTGCTGAATACAAGCCACATGTGTTCTGATTACAATTAACTGTAGCAGTTGGCACATGCACATCTGTCTACAAAATTTCAGGAAGTCCCGCTGTAACAATGCTAAATCATGTACAACAAAACTTCAGTCATCTCTTAACTTTAGATGAACAATGACATAACACAACTGTTCAATGATTCACGAGGAATTTTACTTTGGAAATTTATTTGAAAACTAATAGCCAATCTAAATTTGAGGATGTACCCATAACATAGTTAGATATACTTGTATTCTGCTTATCTTTGATTTTCACCTGGAAATTGAAATACAACAACCACATATACTGAATTTCATGGAAAGCCAGAGAAAAACAAGGAACAGACAGACAGAGGCAAACGAAGAAGTAAACACTATAAAAAATCACAGCTTTACAAGATGCCACCTCTATCTGTATCAGTTGATGATAACTCAAAATTGCAGTTTCCAAACAATGCAAAAGCCTTAAAAACAATTTCCCAAAATCTCCTGATGTAGTTTTCTGCTTTAAAATATCAATAGAATGGTGGCCGTGTGTCTTGAACCACAGCTATTAATTGTTGCCGATCGTTAGTTCCGATTAGGCCCACATGATCTGGTTGGAGAAGTCGTATCTATGCCTAACACAGTATAATCCAATGACTGTTCTGTCACTCACTCTCTGTGTCTACAGAGGAGTCTTGATATGTTGATATTAAAG